ACAAAGCTTGCTAAGCAAACTCAATTTGAAGTTCACATTTCAGCTAGTGTTTGTACCATAAGCATTGCAAAGAAGGGGCAACTGTCATAACCAAAAAAATTGTATCCATTTTATAATTTTAATTTTTAGTTATATTTTTCTATTTTTATTTATTATTTAGTTTATTTTAGTTTCTTTATTTCACTTTTATTTGAATTTTTTTATTTTAAGAGAAGAAAGAAGTAAAAACAAAAATACAAAAAAGGAAAATATATAGAAAATACAAAAAAAAAATTAATCCATGGCCATGATTGCATTAAAGAAAATTATAATTGAAGTAATGAAGGGTGTAATTGAATTAATTAGGAAATTCAAAACTTAAATTACATTCTATAGGGATCCGATTAATGAAATTACACTATATAAAGACCGAAATTCAATAGAAAATGGCACGATTGCAAACAACTAAAATTCACATGGGCCAAATTAGAAATTTAGATTAAAAAAAAGGACTAAATCAAGTGGATGATCCGTCGTCCCCTATAATCCAAAAAATCTCTTCGAGAATCCCTCAACAATCTTTCTAAATCTTCCATTGATTACGTTTTTGAGTTGCATTTACTATGATTCTTAGCTGAAATTGATACTAGTCAAGAATCATGCCCTCGCTGATCTAATTTCCTCATGTTAGCTAATCAAATATCAAATTTGAGATTTGGCAACTGAAATTTGGATTGATCGGATTGATTTTGGGAAGAGATTTGAGTAAATTCTTGCCTATAAAAGGGTTGTGTTGGCTAGGAAAATGGATATCAACAAAATTATAAAGAATTCTAGGTTGAGAGAGACTAAAAATCTAGAAAATAGTAGAATTCGAAGGTTTTTTTTTTTTCGGTGGTCGCCTTTTTGGGAAATTTCTAGTCGGGAGTTGTTGTTCTTAATTTTTAATTTGGGTTTTCATTCTTCATCGAGTGGGGTTGTTCAATTCGATTTTCTTTGCCTTTTGGGTTTCGTGTTGAATTTCTCATTTTTTTAAACCAAATTCGTTAATTCCTTGTGTTTAATTTGTATTTTTTTGGATTCTCCTTCAAATGTTTCGGATAATAGTTCATTTGTTCTTTAGTCGCTCTTCCCATTTATATTTTTGGATTTCGTTTCTTGGATTCCAATTACTATCGAAGGAATCAACACCAATTGTGAACTCCATCATTATCTACAAATCATCCCGATACTTCATTTTCTTTCGCCCATCTCGCGAAGCACCGATCAATCATTTTTTTCTTATAAATCTTAGGTCAATGTCCCTTCTTCCAATTTCCATTTCCTTTATTATTGTAATTTGAATTTCTTTTTGTTATTTAAGCCTTGGATTTCCATTTGTCTTTGAGATGAGGAAAATGAAAGTGACTTAGTCAATTAACTTTTAATCTAAAACCATGATTTAGATCCTGAAAAATGTGATGAATAAAGAAAGAAAGTGAAGAACATGAAGAACAAGGGAGAGAGAGAGAGCTAGAGAGAGGGTTGAGAGGTGTGTTTGATCGAAAATGAGAGGAATTTCCTTTGGGTTTGTTTCTAGACCTTAGCCCAACTTAGAGGGATGTGAGTTGGGCCAAACCTAACCCACGCCGAATAGAGGTTGTACTAGTTACGACCAAGCCTATTCTAAAAATGAAAAGGAAAGAGGCTAGAGTACTTTCGATCCGGCTTTTCCCCTTTCCTCCAAAAAATAAAAATAAAAAGTGAAGAAACAAAAATAGGGAAAAAAGAATTAAAAAAATAAAGGTAATAAAAAAATAAAAAAGAGAAAAGGAAAATTTAAACCGAGAAAATAATAATAATAAAAATGAAATTTTAATCTAATTCGTTTTATGCATGTTTGTTAGTTTATATTTTAGTTAGAATTTATTTAAATTTTTTGTAACTTTTTAATTAATATGTTTTTTTTATCTTGAATTTATTCTATGCATGTTTTTTTTTAATTTAGAGTCGGTATTTGAATTTCCTTTAAATTATTTGATTAACGCAGTTTTAATTTAGTTAGTAATTAGAATTAATAGGTGGAGGATTGTTGAGTCTTCAAATTTTTAGAGACCGATGACGATTTTCCATCAACAAAAATAATCAACAAAAAAAAATTAATTTTAATGTTAGATTTTTTATTCAATAATTAGCTCAATAATTAATAGGTGGAGGATTGTCAAGTCTCCTAATTTTTTAGAGACTAATGACGATCTTCTACCAAATAAAAAAAGAAAAAAAAAAGATAGAAATCCTAAGATGTTGAACAAAGTCTCTTATCTAATAGGTTGTTAGACAAAAGAAATTATTTTTAGTAATTAGGTCATACTCCGATAAACCGATTGTATCGAGAAATAAAGTGGATCCGATATTTGAACCGACGTGTCACTCGATAAAGGAGACCAATGATCATTTTAATACGATGTCACACCCAAAACTAAAAAACTTAATTCAACTTGAAAATTTGAGTTTAAATCGCAAATAAGTTGGCTTAAAGTAAAATACTTTAAGAGATAAATTTAGGACTAAACTAGATGAGTACCTTTTTTCGAAAAGGGTGTCTTTGGGCGATCAATATCTTCTTAAAGCATAACCAACTCCTTATCCAAGAATCTCTACACCAATGCTTATTTTTAGGTTCCTAGTTCCTTTAACGTTAGGTAATAACTCTAAACTTAATAACAACTTGCATCCCTAGAATAACTCATAAAAGCGATGCGAATATCCGAAAACCTAGAATTTTTTTGAGGAGTCCATCCGATGTCTAGTAGTGACATAACATATTGAATTATTGCATTTGGGTTTATTTGTTTCTTACCCTTTTTTTTTTCTTTATGCTCCTAATGCATTTTTAACTCCGTGAAGAAAACACATTCCACAATAAATAAATAAATAAATAATAAGTAATATATAAAGTTGAGAAGGATCCACCTACCATAAAATTTAAGTTTTTTATATGAAACTCAATATCCATTATATAACTCAATATAGTATTAGATTTTCAAAAAGGTCCAATTATCCAAGCAAAAATTATAGAATTCCTTGAAGCTTCAATGATTTAGCAAAGATTCTAGAGTCCTTTGAAGCTCCAATAATCCAGCAAAAATTCTAAAGCTCAAATCAACGAGTATTAGAATCTCAAAAAAATCCAATAGTCTAGCTTGTAGAGCCACATTGAATAGATAAACATAATATATGAAGTTGAGAAGAAACCATCTATCATAAATTTTAAATTTTTTGGGATGAAATCTAATCTTAATTAAATTTTTAGTTTTTTGGATGAAATCTAAACTCAATATAGAACCCTAGCTTATTAAAAAAAAAAAAAAAATCAAATCCAACCCCAAAAATCACAACTTTTGCTCTCTCTCATCTTCTTTATTATAATCCTCCTTGCAGCTTCATTTTCGTTGTTGTCATAATTGTTTTCCCTATTTACATACCAACTTTCATTTCAATGTACATAAAATATGTTTACTAATATTGGGAAAAAAAAATGAATTGAGAGGATTTCTACGAGGTTTTTCATCAATTTCTCATGGAATTCTAATGGAAGGGACAAATTCAAAAAATATATTATTTACTGAGCAAAATCAGAAATTTTTTAAGTCAAAAGAATATTTTACTATTTTACCTATTTCGAAACCATTTCCACGTTACACTTAGAGCAAAATAGCTTCTTTGTTGTTTTTTCTTTTCTTTTCTATAAAGAATTCTTGATCAAATGTTTTACAATTAAAATAATTTTAAAAAGTTGGATGACGAAACTTCTCTTCCAATTACACAATGGCATAAAATATTTGGTAATTTACTCCGAGATCCTAACGCACAACTTAATCACTCCAAGACACATCCTAACAACTTTATCACTTCAAGACGATCCTAACAACTTAATCTCAAAATTTTTAAAGTTAAAGAAATCAGTGGTGATTAGTTTAATTCATAAAGTTAATTCAAACCGGTCTAAATTAATCAAGAATCGTTCTTGTTGGCATTCAAAATAGACGTACACGTTATAGCAAAAAAATCCAAAAGTTGATGAGTTTATAGAAGCGAATACTCGTAAAGCAAAGAAAATACAGCAAAAAAGTGTTCGGCCCCATATACGAGCTTGGCCTATCCTCCTTCGACACAGCCAATTTGGTAACGTTATAAAAAAGGGGTCTCGATCAAGTATTAATATTTAAAAAAGCTGGCCATTAAAACGCATGAATTAGTGCTAATAAGAACACATATTCGTGAAGTTGTGGATAACAATTACCATGACAGCTTATAAAAACAGACGATGTGAATGTAAAGATGGCTTGATAAAAGTTTGGCAAATTATGGCACAGACTATTACGTTAAATAAAAAATAAATTAACAAAAGTAGATCATGATTGTGTCCATCTTTTGCTAATCTAAATCCTAAACGTACACGTGCATGCCTTGAACCATTATAGATAGAGAGTAGATGGAACACTGAAAGTCATCAGCCTCTTTGCTATCTTGCAAAATTATAAGCTTTCTCAGAGGTTGATGTCTCAATCACTGCTAGTGTTTTCCCCTTATTTAATATCTTTCATTTCCATTGACGTTTTTACCATTAATTTAAGGCCTTCACCTGCAAACATTTTACCTTTTTTTAATTTGGAGGATTAATAGTTTGAATTTTGACTATCTTTGATAGGGACTAATATAAATTATGTTCTAGAATCTCACCTATCAGTTTAAGTTTTTAAGTGAGAAGGTTCTTTAATATAGTATCGAAGTTTGGTTAACCTCGAGGTCCCGAGTTCAAGTCTCACCATGCTCAATTTCTCAAGTATTAAGCACAAGGCAATGTAGACCTTTGCAAGTTTTATGCCATAAATGTTGGATTTTTCACTTGAGGAAATGTGTTAGATACTTAGTATAAATTATATTCTAGGACCTCACTTATTAACTTAAGTTTTTAGGTGAGATGCTCTTTTAATAATCTTCACATATTTCCGATAGGTGACAATTGAAATTTCTTGGAAATGAAAGGAAACATGAAGGTGTTCATTTTGGTGGCAACATTGGCTTTGTCAATGGCAATCCATGATAACCATGTTATGGCAAACGATGCACACACAAAGCCAATAATTCAAATGTATGGCTCCGGCGAAGGTGGGCCAGCCAACGATGATGTGCCATCACCACCGTTTCTCATTGCTTGGAATCCAACATAAATTCAGTAAATTTAGTGGACTGCAACAAAGCGATAAAACAAGCATGGCTTTTCTATGAACATCGTTCCATTCGGACTCTGCTGAACAAAGACAACTGCCTCACTGCTAACGATCTCACCCAAGGAAGTCCTGTTCTAATCCTCCCATGTAGCCCGGATTTGTCTGCTAACCAACATTGGCACTTCGGAGACGATTATTTGATCATCGATGATAATTCATCCGGTGAACTCGTATTAGATGTGGCCAGAACAGAGTTCCCTCAGATAATAGCCCTTTGGACACTCAATGGAGGAGCAAACCAGAAGTGGCATCAAATGCGTCAGCTTTCTTTGCCCTGAGCATATCTAGCTCTATGTCAAGCAGCTAGGCAACAAATTATTGTTGTCTCATTACGAAGTGTGCTATGCTACTTTCGTAGAGTAAATAAATAGGGCTATGGTCCCCAATGCCTCATCCTATGTATCATGCTAATTAATATATATATATATCCTTTTGTTTTTTGATTTCACCAATTTTCCAATGCTGACTGTGTCGTAATTTTTTAGTGATTTTTAACACTTTTGTATATCTCGCTCTATTTTCGGTAAAAATAAACATTTTTACCATTAAATGTGTCTTTTTTAATTTTCCTCAACAAAAAAGATTACAAATGTTATGATCTTATATAGAAAAAACTATATACTTCTAGGGATGTTCATTTTATTAAAAATGAGTTTTATTTTCAAAATCTCTCTCAAGAAAGCTTGAAAATTAGAACTCATGAGATTTATTTAAGAGACTTAATATCTCTGTCTAACATTAGTGCTCATGGTAATATGCATGGTTGAAATTGATAATGCTAACAAGATTGACAAAAACGATAGCAGGAGTGAAAATATTTCAAAGGAAAAACTACTAGCAAAGGTATGGAGCAACAAGATATAATCCAAGTTCCTGTGATCCTACATGAACAAACTCAACAGCAACCTGGACAATCCTTACTCAGGTCTTCTTGTGTTTCTTGTCCTTTTTCTAGACAAAAAAAAAATTTGAAACTTATTTTGTTTTGTCTTTTTCTATTTAAAACTATTTAACTTATCAAAATATTTCTCCTCATTTGAAATGTCTTTTTAAGCTTTATCTAATAGAACCAACCAAATTTGAGGAAGCCAACTCTCAAGATGCGTCGAGGAAGGCCATGAAAGAAAAATTGCAAGCTATTAATAAAAATTATGCCTGTGACATTTGCCATAACCTAATATTTTTCATTTTTATCCCTTTTATCTTTTATTTATCTTATCTTCTTGTTTATTATTATTATTATTATTATTAATCTATCTATTGGTCTCTTGTTTTTATTTTTTATTTCATTTTATTTTGAAATTTATATATATATAAAAGAGAATAAAAAGAATAAGAACAGAGAGAGAGAAAAAAAAGTGATAAAATACAAAATACCAAATTAATTTCAATAGGGGCATAATTGAATAAAATCAGCAATTAAATTAGAACAATTGGGGAGATGATTGGAACGATTGAGAATCTTGGGACTGAAATTAAAGGAGACAAGAGTCCGATTGAAGATATTGAAAGAACCAAGGATCAAAATGGCTTTCCAAATGGATATAATTGTAGACAATTAAAGTCACAAGGATTAAATTGAATCTACGAAGCGAATGATAGAACCAAAGTAGAACAAACGACCTATCATTCGCTTCAACTCAGAATCAATTCCCAGGTCTATTCATCACGTTCCTTGGAGACAAATTTCTCCAATTTGTTTCGTCTGATTTTGTGATTCTTGGCTGGCAATTGTACTCGTCAAGAATCACCCTACGCTCACCTGCACCACCACTAGACTCCACACATCACACCCTTCGTCCTTCAATTACAGTCTACACACATAGCCAAGAACACCAGAAGGGTGTTCTTTAGCTTTATCGAGCTATGGTTTTGATCGACTAAAGATCGATCCTAGGATGGGAATTGGTTCGAATTTGGCTATAAATAGGGGAAGATAGAGAGGAGGAAAATGAAGAGAGGATTCTTTATGGGTTCTTTAAATTTTTGGGTTTTTGAAAGAACAGCTTGGATTTGAGACGAAAGATTAAAAGGAGATTCAGTGAGGATTTCGATGAAAATTTTGAGAGGATTTTTCTAGTTTTGAGAAGGAGATTCGAGGTTCATAGAGAGAATAGAGAGGATTAAAGAAAGAGATCGAAGGGAGAGGGGAGAGTATTCTGAGTTCATACCTTCTGGTTTTGTTTGTTTTTTTTTTTTTTCCTTTGATTTTTTGGATTTCAAGAACACTAGAAACCTAGTTCTTTAAGAAGTTTTCCAGCCATCAACCACCACAACAACACTCTCCCCAAGCCTTACATTTTGCCAATACTTAACAAATCCAACCCACCAACCTTCACCATTAACTACTTGCGACAGAGGAAATCCAACCAACCACACTCTGTCTTTTTCAATGACCATTTCGTTTGTTTCTGTATCCTTTTTATCATATAAGGTAACATGTGAAAAATACTATATTGTAATATTATGATGTGTACTAAAGTAGGGTGATATCCTAGGGATGATGCCGTCGAAAAATTTGTTTATAAGATGATAGAAGATACGAGGAAACTCTAAAAAAAGATCAATAAAATGATAAAAAAAATAAAAATAAAATGTGTGTTATGTCTTTTGGGATCCATAAACATGTGTTAGTTTGATTTCCTGTAAAAGTTTTTTTAAATTTGACCCCTCATTTTGTATTTATTTCGGCCATCTTTTTATGTCATGTTTATGAATTCTTGTGTGTTAATTTTTTATTTAAAGCTTTTTTTATTAAAATTACGATCGTCGAGTCTCTTAGGTTTTAAGAACCGATAACAATCTCACATAAAGCTTGCTTTGTAATAAAAAAGAAAAAAAAATATCCCATTTAGATTATTTATGAGTGTTCATTTCAAGCAAACAAATATTCTATTCATTAGGACCAATGTTGTTCTTGACTCTTCGCTTGTCAAATTTTGTTTTACTAGGTACATATGTGGGCTAGTTTTCCTCTATATTCCAATTTATTTTTTTATTATTATTTTTTTATTAGTTTTTTCTTGACATTCCAATCATGTGATGACTTATTGGGATTTAATGTTAAATCGATGAAACTCTTAGTTTCAAGACTCGACAACAATTTAATATGATTTCATTATAAAAAATAAAATTTATATTTTACCTAAACAACCAAATAAACTTGAAAATATGATTTAAAAAACATTTTGGCAAACAATTCTTTTAGGAGATAATAGTCTTTAGGATTTGACTAAACTCGATATCCTTTTTCGAAAAGAGTGTCTCCGAGTGATTGTTATCTTTTTAACCGACATAACCAGCTCTTTATCCAAAATTTTTGAATCTAATGTCATTTCTAAGTTTTTTTTAGTATTCTTTAACACAAATTATCAATTCCTAAATCTCTTAATATTTTTTCTTTAGAAATTTGAATGTCTTGATGTCCATGTGTGACAATGATATTGTCATTACAAGAAATGATAGTGAAGGCATTAATAGCTTGGAAAGCTTCCTCAAAATGACAATGGACATTGAAGGTTTTGAAAAACTAAAATACAATTTTAGCATTGAAGTAATTTATTCAAATAAAAACCTTTAAATATATATATATATATATATATATATATATATATATATATATATATGGACTCGTAAAAATAAAATAAAAGGTTATCTTCTATGAATTTAGGTCACTAATAAATATAGTTCCTTAATAGAAATAATAGTGGGTAAAGCTAGATTTACAATGAATTTAGCTCACTAAAGTATAAGAGCAATGAACCAGAAACCCCAGAGGGCCACGTGATGAACATCCCCTTCTGAATAGGATTTGAGTACATTAGACTTTACGCAACCAATATCTGCTATGATTCAACTGATAAAGGCTTATTTTAATCAATCCAAAATCTGATGAGATTAAATTGACAAAATAGCAATTAATAATAAAAAAAATCAATTGAAAAGTAACAATCAACAATCATGATCCTTTTTTTCTTTTATTTGACAAAAAAAAGAAAAAAGAAATTTGAAATTGCTAAATCACGGATGAAATAAAGTAACGGAGCCATCATGTAATCTTGTTTTTCTTTTTCTTTTTTTTTTCAAAAAAAAAAAAAAAAACTTGGTTATTGTATCATTTACCGACATTTGATATTGCATAATCTTCTTTCAACATCTTTTTTTTTTTTGGGTTTGCGATGACTAATTCAACACTGATTTGATCTTTAAAACTCTTTTTCTTTGAGATTTTGATTATTTAATTCACTAGGTTTTGTTTAGTTTCGATGATATAGATAAAAAAGGATCATTATTTTTTTTCCATCTTGATGCAGAGTGCTTGGGTACATAAACATGAAACATGGGCCTCAACAGATAAAAAAGACTCAAAACTAGAAACCCACAAATAGCCCAGTTAACTATGTAGATTTGAAGCCTACTACAATGAGCCCTAAATTCTTTCATTCAAATAATAATAATAAAACTATCCACTCATTTCTATATATATATAGAGAGAGAGATGTGAAATAAATAGTTTATCATATATAGTAAAATTTAATAATTTATGATGCACATATAAAATAAATAATATAAATAACATCATTTAATTATTGAAATTGATTTAGAAGTAGAGCAGATTTGGCTAATCCACAAACCCACCCCCACAACATGTTGGTGGAATAAGATGAAAATTGAATTTTTTTTTAAATAAATTAAATAAGATATATAATCATGAGTTGGCAGATTCAAATAAAATTGATCATTTTTGAATATATATATTACCAATCCAAATCATAATATTTTCCAACCATAATTTTTTTTATTGAATTGCCCTTGATTGAAATGAAAATAAAATACAATTTTAAAAACTTTAAAAATAAAACATTCAGGTCATGTAACTTTAAATACTATTTTAAAAAAAATAAAATTTCTAAAGAGTTCAAAAATGAAACATTTAGGTAATGTGACTTTAAGTATATATACATATATTAATAAAGGGTAATATTTCGGTAAAAAAAAAATTATGGTTGAAAAATTTGATTAAAATGACAAATTGGATATTTTAAATTTTTTTAAAAAATATATGAGATATAATTAAAAAAAATTACAAATAAAAGACTTTACTTACTATAGAAGACAAATGAATATCCGCGTGCATGATAGATTATGAAAACAGGCATGAAAAATGGAAAGCACGTTTACATTACATTGTTTATTTCTTCCTTCTCCATTAATTAAAGCACCCAATTAAAGAACAACTCACTATGATGCCTAATATTGACCTTTTTGTCCCAATTAAGTCCTCCAACTTTTACATAAAATTAATACGGCTGGATGACTTTGTTAGCCTGACTTTGGATCTGTCTTTTGCGTAATAAGACCAATACCATTCATGAGAGAAAATTCATGAAATCTTCATAATTTGGATGAGAATAGATGAAAATCGATAGGATAAGATAGGGTAATTGTAATAATTCTGTAAAAACAATTTACCATTTTATTCAAAAATTTAAACTACTAGAATATAATTTATATTATTTTTTAATATATTTTTTTAAATGAGATAAATTTATATAAACTCATATTATCTAATGTTTAATTAATTAAAAGATAAAATAAAGATGATAGAATCCGAGCGAATAGAGATAGGGTAATAAACTAATTTCTCGCTTCATTAATACTACCTTATTCAAGTGATTAAATAATTAGTTTTGAAAAAAAAAAAAAAGATTAATTGATTTAATTTTAAAAAATAGAAAGACTAATTTATAATTTATTCCGTGTAGCATGACATGTATATTTTTCACGTTTAGTTCACCATCCATGCCTTTGATCATAAATGTATTGTGGCTGCCCATAAACCCAACTTGCATTCCCATTTTAGTGGACGCTTGTGTAGGGTACACATTACTTTTCATGACCTAAACGAACTAGATGTGCCATGAGTCGTGACCATGTGTCTTTTGACCCATTGGTTTAGGGACATGGTACCTAGTACTCTATATGTATAAATACATGCTTTTAAGGTTTATTATTAGGTAATATCTTTGAGTAAAGCTTTTGCATATATTTATTTTTGGTTAGTTAGGTAAATGCAAATTGAAGAAATAAAGAATGTTAATCCTTACAACCTAAGTATGAACACTTAGGTCGGAAAGAACACACATCCCCTTCAAGTTTACAGTATAAAACCTAACTAGAAAGGTAATGATTTTATCAAGCAATAGGTTTATTGGATCATTAATTCAATCAGTGAATCATTTATAGATCCAATTTTTTTACAAATGGTTCAATATATTTATTGAGGTTTGATACTTTAGGAAACTATATTGTAATAATATGGCAATAATCTTTTCATTATTTTCATATGTTTTTTCTGTATTGTTAGGCTACTTTTTCTTTTATTATTGAGGTATTTATTTTGTACACACTGTATATATATTTGTGTCATGTATATATATTTATTGACGTTTGATACTTTAGGAAATTATATTATAATAATATGACATTAATCTTTTCATTATTGTCATATATTTTTCTTTTATTGTTAGTATACTTTATTATTATTATTGGGATATATATATATATATATATATATATATATATATATATATATATATATATATATATATATATATATATATATATATATCTTGTGTAATATCAGAATAAATAAGAAAGATATTAATTGTTACATTCTTCAATTTTTTCAATATTTGAATCATTAGTCTAACTAATCCAGATTTATAATTTTTCAACGGTTTTGACTAGTTTTTGTTAGAGAATAATATAAATCATATTATAGGACCTCACCTAATAGTTTAATTTTTTTGATGAATTGGTCTTTTGACATTGTATCGAGCTATGATGATCAAACGATCGTGAGTTCAAATTATATCATCCTATTTTTTCTTTTAATTAATTAAGCACAATGTAGTACGGACTGCGTAAATTTTAAGTTAAAAAGACTTTCACTTGATGGGTATGTTAAAGAATAATATAAATCATATTCTAGATTAGTCCTTTGGCAGTTTTATCCGACATTTTGGTATATATAATCTAAATAATCAATTCAAACTTGTTCGATGATATGCTATTTCGGTTTGTTAGCACTAATTTTTACCCAGCTAACATTTTTAACTAGTCGGACCTCAATTTCCTCACGAATTTATTTCTTGTCAGTTTTTATTCCTTCTTAAACAGTTAACTTCGACGGAAAAGGTATGGTCATGAAGTTAGCCCATTGTATAATTAATATAATGACTACACATGTTAAGGCACATGCTCAGTTGACTATCTTTTCCCTCTTCCTCTGTTTATTTGAGAACTTGGCATTATTGAAGCTTCAATGCACAAAAAAGTCGAGAGAAAATAGGTAGTTTTGAGCACAAAAGAGTTATAAGGTATGAGAAATATTAGGTGCATTAAAACGCCTAAAATCATTCTAGTTCCATATCCAGCACAAGGTCATGTCACTCCCATGCTCAAGCTAGCCTCAACCTTTCTTAGCCATGGTTTCGAGCCAGTGATGGTCACGCCAGAATTCATCCACCATAGGATCATATCAAACATCGATTCTAAGTCCAATAATTCATGCATTTCAATACCAGATGGGTTGGAAATGGACAAGCCTCGTGACTTCTTTGCTATTGAGAAGGCTATGGAATTCAACATGCCAATTCACTTGGAGGGTCTAGTTCAGAAATTCAATGAAGATGGTGAAGTGGTGGCGTGCATGATTTTTGATTTATTAGCATCGTGGGCTATTGAAGTTGGCCATGTATGTGGGGTTCCGGTGGCTGGATTTTGGCCAGCCATGCTTGCCACATACCAGTTGATTGCGGCCATCCCTGACATGGTTAGAATCGGCCTTATTTCTGATGCTGGTGAGTTATTTATTTGAGTTTTCTTTCTTCTTCTTCTACCTTTTTTCCTTTTTAATAATGGTAATTTTAGGTCAATTTTTAAGTATCAAGTTGAATATTTTTTTTAATCAAGTTTTAAACAGGTTATCCACACGTACAACACAAATATATATTTGTTACAATTTTTTTTTTTTAATTTGAACCTAAATAATAAGTGATAAGGATACAACACTGCCGTGTATATCCTAAAAGCTTAAGTACATCAAGCGGTGTAACAACACTCCACTTTATATATATCCAGTAGTGCATCCTACTCTTGCTAGAAGTTGTACATAGGCATAAGTCTCTGCATTCAGGTCTGTCTCTATAAGTAGAGTTCTAATCTGGCTAAAAGTCTGTAAACTACAACTAGAGATCGTCAATAAACAAGCAATTATCTTTTTGATCACACATAAATCTTTCATGGTATTACAGCATTAAGAGGTTTAAACTTCCATTTAGTTCAACAGGGTAGCTTATCCTTGTTGTAAAGTCAGAAAATAATTAAATTATCTTCAAAACATGTCAATTTCAACCAGATCCACACCTTGACTCAAAGACAGCAATCTTCTTCAGATTAACTTGGTACCAGAAACAAAAACAATAAAGCACAGAATCGGCTTTGTAATCAAGTACAGTTTTATAGCTTCAGAATATAAATTTTTGATACCCAGACAGATTTATGCTTTCCCAATTTTGAGCAAATCAGCATGTGAGTGTTTTCTCTTAAGAGCTAGTTTAACCTTCGAGGTTCCATATAAATTTTCTTGTGCTCTAACCAACATCATAAATGATCTGGTTTAAATAGGACCCGATAAAATCGCCAACAGGTTCCATAACATCATTACTGCAAAAAGAAAAAAAAAAGGTAAAGGATGACATCAGTTTAGAAGAAAACCTTCAAATAGTTTCCATCAAGAGCTATTGCTAGGCTGCAATCTGCTATAGCATCAGTAATTTGGCCCATTGCTTTGTATGCAGCAGCTCTATTGCAAAAACAAATGGCTGCAAAAGGCCGTGATTCTACGTTACGTGACAGAGCACCACTGTAATGTTCAATAGCTTCTGAATACCTTCTTGCTTGAAATGCTTCATTCCCTGCAGCCTGCAGTTAGTCATATTAATGCCATAAGATAACAGGTTAAGGTACGTAAAACACTGTTCAGGAAAAAAAAATCTAACAAGAATCGAATGCCTTATGGCGTAAGAGTTCTCGTACAGTGGCAGCTAAGGGTACTAGTGATTCCTGAGTTTCAAAATCATTCCTGGACAGACTACTGAAGAAACAATACTTTTATCATCATTCAAACAAACAAAATCGGCAATATGCAAGGTGGATGACTTACCTTGGGACCAACAAATCAAATCACAATAACAAGGGAATGGAAAAAAAAGGCGTTTTATATAACGAGCAATGAAAACTTTCATTTCCAAGAAATTTCAACCTTCACCTGTCCAAATATGCAAAGATAATCAAAATTCAAATTATAACATTCAATCCTTGTAAGTAGGGCAACTTAATTACTCGGGAAGATACTCATATATTAATCTAACATTCTGCTAAACAAAAATTAGACAGTAAAAAATTTTCATGTTTTAATGATTATTTGACTAGCATGTTTAAAATAACTAGAGATGGGGCTATCAATAATTCCATATGCTTTGTAAAATTTTAGCAGCAAGAACAATGAGTGCAATGAGTGCTGCAAGAACAATGAAGAGTGAAATGTGTATTTGTGAAGAGCTCAAATGATTAAAACATGCATTGAAATGAAAGTTGGTAAACAGGGGAAAGAATTATGATAACAAATAAAATCAATATTAAATAGCTTGTAGTTCAATATTGTAATTTTTTATAATAAAAAATCATAAATTTAAATTCGAACAGATTAATTTTTTAAAAAACTTCGAATACATGAGTTAAACAAAAAATAATCAACCTATGAGACAGATTCTAATAAAAAAGATGAGTAAGAGACCAAGAGTCGTGATATTTGATTTTATTGAATTATATAATTAAAACTGAATTTTATTTAAAATATTTAAATTTTATAATAGATGATTATTTCTCAGCTGTATATATATTATTTGTTTGTTTGTTTATTTAGTCAATATAACATATGCTATCCAACATGTTCAATATGCAATAATTCAATATGTTTTATGTGCGTGCGAAGGCATTAAATTCATGATTTAGACATCAGTGGATTTTCAGCGCTGCATGTACTCTGTCTTTGTAGTAGTTCAAGGCATGCACGTGTACGTTTAGGATTTACATTAGCAAAAAGATGGACAACTCCATCATTTTCGTATTTAATTTAATTTAATTATCTGTGCCATGTGGCGTCCATCTTTCGCTAAACTTTTATCAAGCCGTCTTTACATTAACATGCATGGTCTGTTTTTATATTTTGTCATGGTAATTGGTTTCCACAACTTGCTTCACGAATAAGTGTTCATATTAGCCCTAATTCATGTATTTTAATGCCAACAAAAATCCCAACAACTTGCTTTTTTTAATTTGTACTTTAGAGTGATCAATCCCAACAAAAATCAACAAAATCTTAGTGAAAAAAAAACATTATCTTTAAGGTTTATACCACTAGTGATGTCTCCATTAGAAAAAGCAAGCTTGAAGGACGTGATTTCTTTTCAGTCACAGCCTTCGTACTTCAAACCATGTTGTAAGGATTAACATCCTTGTATCATATAACCATTTCAATTTAAAAATTTAAATTATTAAATAAATTATTAAAATATAATTTATAATATTTTTTAATATATATTTTTTAAATAAAATTTTTTTGAATTTGAAACTTTCACAAGTTCACGCTAGACGCTACGACAGTTGAGCTAATTCACGAGCTGGGTAGTCCAACTCTTGAATACTTGAGCTGGACGGTTCAACCCCTTGGCTAGTTAGTCCAGCCAAGTCACAGGTTAGACTGTCAAGTCAAGTCCAACTCTCCTTTCTCAAAACTTTTACTGTTATTCTTTTTTTAAAAAAAATACTAGACATTTTTTGTGGAAAAATTAATGAATCTTTTATTATTATTATTGTTATTGTTATTGTTATTGTTATTTGAATGAAAGAATACAGAGCTGATTGTAGGTGGCTTCCATCTAGCTAGTTAACTGGGCCAGTTTCGAGTTTTGAGTCTCTTTGCCTTCTTGAGGCCCATTCTCCACAAAGCAACCACTCCCAACGGAGTCGCAAGTTTATTTGTTTATATATCCAAACCCTCTTCAATTTTGGGCTCAGCAATCCAATTGGAAATTTATTGGTCCATGTTAGCATTTTTTGCCCCTGCAAATATATATATATATATATATATGAGAACTACAATTTTTTATCATTCTTATAAAAAGAATATTTTATCCATTATTTATTAAAAAATCACTACATAAATTTTTATTCGGTTCACATCTATCAGTTTATCCATTCAATTAGTACTTATTTAATACCCATTAAAAATATTTATTTTAGTCCTTATAATTTTTTTAAAAAGATTTTGTTCTTAAAATTTAATTCTTTTTACATTTTAACCGGGTATTTAATATTGTATTAAATTTTAATTCTATTCATTATTCATTAAAAAATTATTATATAAATCTTTATCTAGCCCAGATTGATCAGTTTATCGACCAATTAGTACTCATTTAATACTTATTAAAAATATTTTATTAAAATATTTATTTTAGTCTTTATAATTTTTAGAAAAGTTTTTTATTTTTTTAAATTTAATTCTTTTTACATTTTGATCCTATATTTATAAGTATTTTTTGTCCAAAAAATTTGGGTCCTTAATTTTTAAAGTTCGGTGCTTAAAATTAATGGATATTAATATCTTAAAATTATATTAGCGAATATGTATTTTTTTACTTTTATCTATTTTAATATTCATTATATATTTTTAATGAGTATTTATTGGATCGGATAAAGTAAGTATTCGTTTTATACTTTATTTATTGACATCTCTGGTCTGAATGCTTGTTTACTTTTTATCCTAATCTGATCATATTCTCATCGTATTTGTAACCGATTAAAATTTAAGGTTACAAAAATCGATCTTATTGCTTTATCATATTGGATAAAAGTAAGCTTTTTAAAGTTAAATAAGAGTACATACTTAAGGTGAAGGAATGTTCATGGCTTGGCCCTATGGGGTTTCTTGTTCATTGCCTGGAAGCTTCTATGGATTTGGGTAAGATTTGGGTGGCCTTTCTCGACTTTGGATAGCAGCCTCTCATGCTTTAGCCCACTATTATTTCTATTAAGGAAATATATTTTTCTGGTCAAGAGAAATCATGGCTGAAATCTCATGGAGTAATGTATATTAAATGTTTCAAAAAGTAAAACAAAATAAAATAAAAAGATCTAAATATTGACGTGTCATGGCTTCATGTATTTTTTTCCCTATCGAGGGGTCTGGTGTCTCGAATTATATAATTAAATGTCATTTTGTATAAACATGAAACATTCAGAATAAGAATACAAAAATCAGAATAAAAATTAAGAAGTCAAAATAATATTTTTATTTTAATATTGTTTTTGGTATAGTAATAAAAAATTGAGATAAATTTTAAATTTTTTAATATATAATTTTTATGACGAATGAAAATAATATAAGTGATTGTTATGATAATGGTGGTTAAGAAGAAAGTGATGGTAATATTAATATAATAATAATAATAATGTATTTTTAAAAACCATTGATATCATCACATAGGAGTGGAAATAGAAAAAAAAACAATGGGAATGATATAATACAAGCCGCGGTGGTGATAGAACAAATATAGAGTAAGAATAATAATAAAAAAATTAATATTTTTTTTATCTAGCAATGTTGGTGATAAAGATGAAAGTAATAATAGTAATACAGATAGTAGCAGATATACAATAAATAAAAATAATATCTCATTAATTTAAAGAAAGAATTCATTCTTATTTGTTATCTTGATTCTTATCTCTGTAAACGAAAATAAAATTTTATTTAATTTTTATTTTAATTATCACTCAATATTTTTATTTTCATTTCATTTATTTTAACAAAATATCTATTTATAAAATATAATGTGAGAATAAAATTTTTATTTTTATTCCTATTTTCATTTTTACTACCAACAATACCTAAATATAACTTTTATTTATGATATAATAATTAAACAAATTAAAAATTATTAGAATTTGAATTTATTTAACTAAAGTATTTTTATCCAATACGCAATCGTTAACTACACCTGCTTCTTCTTTTTTCGTAACAATAACAATCAGATTTTGCTTTGACAATATTAAAAAGTCATCAAAATATTAAAAAAAATACTGATATTTTTATTTTCCAGATCATATGATTAGTGACAAGACCTACGTTATCTAATATTAACAAATTGATTTTTGCCATGTGTCGTAATCTATCCTATTCGTGGAGAATTCTTCTACGTTCCGTGTGCGCTGGTCAACAATGATGCTAAATGTGACACGCGTTCAGACAAGAAATTTCCACCTGACAAGGATTTTTGCCTTCTCATTCTCGTCTTTTGTCAAGATTCCGACACCTCAACCACAGATGATGTCATACTGACATACATTTTATAATTTTTTAATAATTTATACAGTGAATTTTTCAAAAAAAAAAAAAAATCATACGTTTAAATCTTGAATAATAACCTAATTAACATACACCATCTATGTTGTGCAACAAATAAAAATTCTCTCATACCTAAAATAACAAAAGCTTCCTCCAATCTTTATAGGTACATTTATAGATATCGGTAATTATTTGGTCCAAAAAAATAGATTATCATAATTATATATAAAAAAATTACAATAGTCAACTAGCTTGAAATATAAAAATTTAACAAAAATCCCCTCTATTTTTTTTAAAAAAAATCTTATTAAAAATCTCTTCTACGCTCAAAATATCCTTATTTACTATTTGAAAAGGAAAAATTAAATTAAAAAACTTTGAAAAAATAAAGAAAAATATGAAAAAAAATAGACAAAATCCCAAATCAATTATAATAACCTTCTTAAAGTATTGTGAAATTATAGAAACCATCTAACAATTTAACAAAATCCTTTTTGTTTTTTTTTTAAATATTAAAAAAAATTGTATCCAAAATGCCCTTATTTATTATTTAAAAAAGGAAAAACTTAGTTTAAAAAAAAACCTTAAAATTTTTAATAAAATCCCATCTATTTTTTAAAAAAAATTAAAAATATTTTTTTATCCAAAATGCTCTTATTTATTATTCATTCTCGCCTTTTTGTCAAGATTGCGACACTTAACCACATATGATGTCACATTGACATACATATTTTCTAAAATGTTTAATAAATTGTTTTTCCAAATAGCAGTTAAGGGTATTTTGAGTATAAAAAGAAGTTTAATTATGTCAAATCTTCAAACTTTAAATAATTTTTTATAATTTAACAATACTTTGAAGGGGTTATAACAATTTACCTTTAAAAAAACAAAATATTTTTGTAATGAAAAGGGAGGGAAAAAAAAGGTTAGAAAGAAATATACAATATTTAAAAACCCTAATTATATGGTCCACGTTAGAGGACCTATCTTAGACAGCAAGAAAAGAAATTTTGGTTCATTAAACAACAAAAACACGCACATATAAAGTAAATAAAGCATCGTAAAGATCGATATTAATTAATTGACAGCCTGCTTTTGAGAGGAATCAAGTTCTGTTGCCGTTGTATCGAATAATAAATGCTATTGCTTCCTCACGCGGTTGTAGCCGCCCTCGCTATCCTCCCCTACCAAGGAAACAACTCCAACTCTCTCTCTCTCTCTCTCTCTCTCTCTCTCTATATATATATATATATATAGCAATAATTGTTATACTAGCTCCGTCATCAGTATCGACTGCTACAACCTAACTTCTCAGCATCTTTATCTTCCTTCAACATCTGTATCTTCCCTTCTCTCTTAGCTCTCTTTAATTTGTTTGTGCTTGTCAAGAGTTTTCTTCAAACATGAGTCAGAATCAGGCTACAGGTAATCCTTAATCCCAAGTTTTTTTTTATAGTTAAGGTGGACAGCAAAATTTGATCTTTTGAAGCACTTTTGGTTAATTTTGTGATTAGGGAGATGGGAAAGACATGGCATTACTTGAGATTAGACTTAGGAAGGAAGAAAATAGCTCTGATATCGTCCAGAGATTTTATTGCCAAGTGCGAACTTCCATCTTGTTTGTTTTCCTGTTTCAAAACTCAAGCTCTCTTGCCAAATCTTAGCAATTTTAAGCAGAAAATTCCCTGTTGGGTGTTATCATCTTTTCCATGAAAATTTCCAATCCCAAATCTTTTTCTGCTAGTTTTTGATTTTGTTTGTAGCTTGAAATAATTTCAATTTGATATTTTTATCAAGCAAAACTAAGAACAAGTTTCAAATCTCAACTTCTGGATCAATTGCAATCTGTTTTTTTTCCCCTTTTATAAAGCAATCAACAACTAATTGCAATCTGCACTAAAAAGTTCACTTTTTTATTTTTAGTCAGAATCAAAATCACTCAAACTTGGTAATTGAGTAACTAATCACAAATTTGGCATCTGTTATTTCTTCCCTTGGGATAAATTGACTTAATTCTTCTCCACAATAATTAAACATGGATTATGTGATGCTAATTTGATTGGCTTTGAATCTGGCAGTGCCATATCCTCCTCCACCAACATCAACTGACCCTAGTGCATATTCAGCCCCACCACCAGCAGGCTATCCGACCATGGATGATCAAACCCACCAGCAGAAACCTGTTCCTGTGGAGACCAAATCCAGGGGTGATGGCTTTTGGAAGGGATGGTAAGCCCACTTGTCTTTATCTCTAGTGGGATTAGTCAATATAATCATCTGTGAAAGAAAATTTTGATGATCGTTTAAATATCCTGATTCTTGGCTCTTTGTTTTGCAGCTGCGCTGCCTTGTGTTGCTGTTGTGTCTTGGACGCTTGCTTCTGAGGAATGATGGAATTTCCTGGACTATTTGCTGTTTTATTTACTTGTGCTTTGTTTCTTACATATGATTTTCTGGATTTTTATATTGTAATTAATAGAATGGGACCATGTGGTTTGATTGATTGGCCCGTTTTGATGCAATAAATTATTTGGTTCTATAGTGATTAATTTGATTTGTTGTATATGTGCTTTCCATTAATTTCATTTATTGGTATGGATTTGTTCAACAAATTTTTAAAGGCAAATCATCTAAAGTATAATGAATTTTCGATTAATTTGAAATAAGCCTGTAGTCTTTAATTTTTTAATTTAATTACTATGAATTATGTTTTTGGTAAAAAGCAGATTCCACATTCTTTTTTCTTTTTTTTGCTGTCTCGAAACTCTAGATAAAGAAAAAAATAAATAAAAAATAAAAAATCTGAATTTTTATCTTTGACCATCCTTGTATCTTTTCTCTCTAGCTATCATCAACACAATCTTTTTTTCTTCTTCGTCTTTTCCTCCAAATTTCAATTAGCAAACTACCATTACTTTCCTCTAAAAAAACAAAAATCTCAATTGGATTGGAAAAATCGAATTGTGGTTGCCAGGTGTTGTTGTCTTGTTGCTATGGTTTCTAATGTGGTTGTCATTACTATTCCTATCAATTTATCATTAATACGTCATTATCTAACATTATAAAACATGTGTGTTAGGAAACAAATTAAACAAAAATAAATAGAAAGACACTAGCAAACTCCACCATTCATCTTTTTTTTTTTTTTTGTAAAAAAAAAATAAAAATCTCAATTGAAGTGGAAAAATCAAATTGTGGTTGCCAACGTTGTTGTCTTGTTGCTATGGTTTCTAATGTGATTGACGTATCATTCACATGTCATTATCTGAAATTATAAAACGTGTGTGTTAGGAAATGAATCGAACAAAAATAAACAAAAAAATAAAAGCAAACTCCACCATTCATTTTTTTTTTTTTGGAAAAAAAATAAAAATCTCAATTGGAGTGGAAAAATCGAGTTATGCTTGCCAGTGTTTATGTCTTGTTGCTATGGTTTCTAATGTGGTGGTCCTTATTATTGCTACTTATTGTATTATAAATTTATAAGGAAAGTGATGTTCAATCATATAAAACCAACATAACCTACCCACCAACCTTACAAGTTTGAATCAATAGTAACTATACAAAACAATAAAACAATTGTTGTAATGCACTTAAATTATGGAATTTTTTTGGATTTTTAAAATAATGAGCTTTTAGTTTTTTCTTTTAATTTTGTTCTTGTTGATGGTATTATTTTCGTTGGCTTTCCTATGACTAATCTAAAAAATGATATCGTAACTATTGGATCTTGTATTGCTAAAAGATAAGAGAAGATTACATGGACTTATTAATATATTTGGATAATCACAACCCAACATGTATCATTCGCAATTGCGAAAGAGGTTTCCTTTACTTCAATTATGCATACAAGAGATCATACTAAAGAACTTTTCATAACCAAGAACATTTCTTTTGTTCATTTCTCCTCAACTCTCCAAGCTTAGTACATTCTCCTACTACAAAGAAGCATAAAGACAGACATTAATGAAAGACGCTATCCCACACATCACTATCAGAACTGATGGAACATGCGTGTTAAGAAATGAATTAAGCATAAAGATAAAAGCAATCACACAATACAAAATTTATATGATTTGGTAATGAGCCTATTTCATGATTGTACTAGAAGTTCTTATTAGAATTTTTAATCAGCTATAAATACAAAAGATAATGTCTATACTTATTTATAGTATAAACAACGAGAGTTATAATAATAATAAAATCTAACACTGGCTTAAGATTTTGTAAATCATTCAGAGGCTCCATGCTCAAACTCTCGTTAGAGGCACTATCCCTTCGACTAGGGATGCTCACTATTCAATGAAAATTGAATAATTGAACCACGAAATTCTTTGAATTGATTCCAGTTGTGCCTTCTTTGATTCAACCTCATTACAACATTCTTTGAGAGATTTTATCACCAAATCAAGGTCCTTCTCTTTCAATCCAAGCTCTTGTTTCATTTCAACCTCATTACAGCACTGGACAATTGATTTTTGGATTAATTTTTTTGTTCATTCATCTCTTGAAGCTGCTTTTGAGTCTCTAACATTCATTTATGTGAATCCCTCGCTCTCAATCCAAGATCTTTCTAGTAGTTTTTTTTTATGTCTTTTTTATTTTATTCAGCTCCTCTTCCTTAGATTTTTAGTTTTTTTGGCACAGTGTTTCACATGCTGACGGATAAATTCATGCAACCCATCCATAGTCCTAGTGGCAGGAATATGAATGGACTTGTGTCGCATATTCTTTTCGAATAAGATTTGCGTCACTTATTGAAATCATATCGGACAAAGCTCAAACAACCATACTAATTTTAATTGTTAAATTAATCCTCAAGAAATTATTTTTATGATTTTTTCGAACCTACCGTAATTGGGATAATCTCGTTTTTTCTAACAGGCTTGAAAACTAAATATAGCCCAGCCCAGCCCAGCCCATTTACTTGTTAAAAAAAGCCCACACGCACATGTCGCTAAAGCTAGGGTTTCCATTTCTTTATAAACACACATCACGGCCCCCTCCCCATCTTTAGGGTTTAGAACAGCCACACAGAGACAAGTGCGAGAGAGAGGGAGAAACCCTAAGCCGCCGCTACAATGGTGAAGTTTCTCAAGCCAAACAAGGCCGTCATAATCCTCCAAGGCCGATATGCAGGTCGCAAGGCAGTGATCGTCAAGCACTTCGATGATGGAACCAGAGACCGTCCCTATGGTCACTGTTTGGTAGCAGGAATCAAGAAGTATCCGAGCAAGGTTATAAGGAAAGATTCTGCTAAGAAAACAGCAAAGAAATCGAGGGTCAAGTGTTTCATCAAGCTTGTTAACTACCAACATCTGATGCCGACTAGGTACACTTTGGATGTGGATTTGAAGGATACTGTTTCTCCTGATTGCTTGACAACTAAGGATAAGAAAGTTACGGCTTGTAAGGAAACAAAGGCAAGGTTCGAGGAGAGGTTCAAGACTGGGAAGAATCGTTGGTTTTTCACTAAGCTGAGGTTTTGAAGGAAGGAAAATGGTGTCGGCTTTGAGGTTTTGTTTGGGTTTAATGTGTTATTTTGAGACATTTTGTTTTCTTAAGAAGTATTGTTAAGGTTATGTAGTGATTTATGGAACTAGTTTGGATCTGTTTGGATCTAGTTATTTTTGGGATTATTAATATATATTGCACTTTTAAATGTTGGTGTTTTGATTATTTGTTTATTATTTTTTTATGTTATGATTTTTGAATGTTAGAGTTATGGTTTATTTATTTATTTATTTGGTGGCATGATTCTTTTGGTGCATTGCAATTTTATTTAGGAATGTGTTAATGTGGTGCTGTTTTGTTTACATATTTGAAGGTGGGATTTTATAGCTGATGTGATCTTTGATTTATGATTTATTAATGAATTAGATGTCCTGGTTTGCTATGTAACTGTGGAGTTGCAGAATTGCTCAGGTGTGAGCTTGCTATGGTATCGACTGGTTTGTTGGTTTTTGATGGACCAATGTTCAAAGTTCAGTTGGCGTTTTTTATTGCTCAGTTTTAGGATATTGGGTTTATGTTTATGAGTAAGTGCTTCGTGAGGACTCTGGTTGTCCTCACAAGGAATTTTATGGTTACATTTTAAGTTGAGCGACTGCTATTGTCTTGTGCAATAATGGATACTTAATTTGAGAAAGCAATGCAAACTCTTGGATTGTGTTGTGAGTTAGGAATTTTTAAGTTACTACCTCATATGCTGCCCACTTTTTTTTTTACTGAAATGGAAAGTTTTGGAATCTTTTTCCTGGCCTTGTGCCATACTTCTAACACTTTTTAACTCAGATAGTCTATGATATTATTTTACTGTATGTGTTTCTAATTCATTGGAGGCACACTGACTGATGCTTCCTGCTTCGCTTGAAGTGAAAGCAGGCCAAATGGCCAGTTTTCCAATTTTACATTCTGTCATAGAGGAGCTTTCTTGTAAGTTTTTTTTGCTTGCTGGCAGTTCCTTCAGATGCCTAACCGAGGGTGTAAATTGTAGTTTGATGTTGGGGGTTGGATGGATCTGTTAGGATGAGATGTGCTGGATTAATGCTGTTTATTGAGATTAGATGTGCCCATATAATGTGTTTTCAATTCTTCATATACAGTTTGCATTTATGGTTTATTCATTTGTGCAGTCATCAGTTCTTGGTTGTGAATTGTGGTTCTATTTGCTGTTGTTTGATCTTTTTGATTAGCCAAGGTTTATATCCTCAATGTTTTTACTTGACAGGATGAGGTTTTTCTTGATGAGTCTCAACTTAGGATGTGTCAGTCTCTAGAATCAGTCCTTCTAAGTAGGGCTTTGTGGTTAAAGCTTATCATAATATAAAACGTTGGTGGGTTGGATTGATTTTTTTTTTCCTTTCGGTGCCAAATGTGTTTTTCAGGTTCAATTGGATTTGATGATTATGTAGCTGTTTGCTAACTGACTTGAATAAGCTTTAATAACTCTTGTTGGATTTTTTGTTTTTTCCTTTGTTTTCTGGTTGCATGACAGTGGATTTTAGTTGTCTTTGGGGGGTTTTGATGCAAGTTTTTGTAGCGTGTTTCAATGGATTTAGTCATACTCCGGGGTTTATATTTAACTTAAAAAAACATTTGTTCTGGCACCTTAGGGTTCATGTGTGTCTTATGACTCCCGGATGCTTTTGATTTGTCAAATTAGAATTGAGCATTCTATTGGGGTTTATGTTTCTTGGACAGTGTGGTTTGCCCCAGCTAGCTCATGTGAACTACCTGATTCTGCTTCTATATTGGTGTTGAAGGTTTGTGATCCCCACCTATTGGTTTTGAAAGTCTAAATTAGGTTGCTTTGGGATGGATATCCATACTTTGTGCTGGCTTCAGATTTTGAGTCTGGAACTGGATGGTTTTTCTCTTCTTTCTAAGCAATGCATTTGTAGGTAGCCGAAGGTTATGCTTCATGAAGTATGATGACGATGTTCCATGTAAAGTTAAAGAGGACATCATAAGGTCTGCATTTTCATTTTCATATATTTGGGATCAGATGTGCATTATTTGCATAATTGGTGTTACGTTCTCTCAGCTTGTGTTGTTTCCAAAGGATGTTGGAAATTGGGAGAAAGGGGTGTTTGCTCTCAAGTTCAGGCCCAGAGGAATTTCTGCTGCTGGACAAAGTTTAGTGGCCAAGCAGTTGAAGTTTGGGGTGCTGGCTTATCTTGTTTTGGACCATATAATATTATTGATTCTCGAATGCCTTGTGTGTTATTCTTAAAATCATGGAATACCACAAACACATTTGCTTTTCTCCATCCAAGTCAGTCGCTGGAATCTCTTCCATTCAAGTCAATAAAAAGCTTTTCTAGCAAGCTTGTGTGATTTTGATTTCTTTTCTCCCTTTTATTGTTCACTTTATGTGCTCAAGCAGTTGAAGAAAGACATATCTTCCAAAGTGACTGATCTTGGTCTCTACTACTTAAAAAAAAACTTAAAAATTTGAGATTTTAATTATTCATTTACTGTAGCATTTCTTCAGCAGCCCAGTCCTTGAGAAGCAGGCGTGGCTCCCATTTGGCTTTTTTTTTTTTTTTTTACCTTTCTTTCAACAATTTATATTTATATTTTTTTATTATGAAATTAGGTACGAAAATATAAAAAAATCATATATATTTTTTTAGTTTTATATACAATTTAACGGTAATAGAATATATATGATTGATATAATGCATAAACTCTTTATTTAGTGAACTTATTCTCCTATGATTATGAATAATTGGTGTTTAATTATTGAGAATTAATTATATAATGTTTATGAAGCAGGTAAATATAGAGCTGAATTATTTAAGATGAAATTGGATGTTTTGATAGCTATTTGCCACAAGTCAAAAGGTATGGAGCTGTTAGAGTTTCAGTAGGATGCAATTGCTTTGAAGCATGCCTATTGACTAAATCATAATTCTGGAAGCTAAGTAGAATTCTCACATGGAAGTCGAGAAAAAATAGGATTTTGCACTTATCGTTTGATTTTCCCGTTATCTTATTTAGGCGATTTTTGTGTTTATCCGGAAGGAATACACATCCTATTGAGTGATGTAGTCTCCTATTGAGTGATGTAGTCTTTTGAGGGTTCCTTATAAAAGGGGAGAGAGAACCCTTGGAAAGGCATTTGGAGTGTGGAGCAATTCTGGAGAGCGTGCTCACCTCTAAACCTGGCATCTCTCTCAAAAGAATGAGCAGCTAAATTCTCCTTCCATTCAAAAGAATATAGAGGTTTTTGGTTCAAGATTCATTATGAGATCTTTGTAATTTAATTGTGTCTTTTCTAAGAATATCAATTATTTTATGTGCTCATAAGACAAGTATTTTTCTTGATTGATTAGAAGACGTTTTGATTAATTGAGATTGAGTACTTGACGCCAATTGGAGTGTTAAATTCGTATACGTTTAATTATTTCAATATCTACGGCAATTTAATATGATTAATGAATTGAATTGTTAAGTCATATTAAAGGAAATAATTGTTACAGCTTTAAACAACCAAGCTGGTGCGTTGTTGATTGGGAATTGATCACCCTTCTATATCTTCATGCTATTATCAATTTAAATCTTAAGAGCTTGTTTAGGATTGATTGATTAATAAGAGTTGTGATTGAAGAGCTTATTTCAATAATCGATTGCTAAAGAGAGGTTGGTTATTAGAGCTTGTTAATAATCGAATCACTTTGTTTTCAAGAGAAGACTTATCTCGTCCATCAATGATCAATTGAATTGAATCATAACCGATATATATATTCTGATTGGAAATTCATTCTCTCCGATTTTATTTCTTTACTTCTCTCTTTTGATTTCCATTGCAGCAGCCTTGTTTTAGTTTGTCAAATCAAGAACTCCTATTCTATTTTTATTTTTCCTTTTTTTTTAGATCGGATAATTAACCAATCTCTGTGGAGTACGACTCTACTCACCTTGATTACAAAATCCATTTTTTGAGAGTATATTAATTTATTTTGTTGGAATCGACACCCATCAATGATTTTTTTAAGATTTTGAATTGAACATATATCCGATTATATTATTTTTATTATTTAAAATTTATTTTTTCAATTGTTTGTTTCTTATTAAAATTCTCATCAAATTAATTTTTATATAATTTTATTTGTTAATAAATTTAATTTTTTTATACATTGATTTTGAAATAAATTTTAAGAAAATGATTATTTTATTTTTTAAAATATATTATTATAATTTATATGATTGATTATTTTTATAATTTTTAAATGAAAGCAGTGTAGTTGTGTATATAAATTTGGATGAGAGAGACCTAATAGTATGTTTTAGATAATTTGATTTAATTTTTTTAAAAAAATAATTATTAGTTAAAAAAATTCACGGGTTTTATTTGGTTTTTTATATATATAATCGAATTTATCGAAATCAATTTTATAATGATTTTTATTTAAATCTATTCACTTCGATATATTCCATGTGATTTCGTGGGTTTTTTTATATATTTTTTATTTATCCTATATACTTTGAATATGCTAAGTACGATACATATATATTAGTTTTCTTATAAATTAATTATACTTACACACATAACACTAATTATTTTTTATTTATTATTTTCATGTTTTAAACTTTGTATTTTTAAATTACTAAAAATACTAAAAGATATAGGGTTTTAACTATTCATTTACTATAGCATTTTTTTTTTAAGGGTTGGCTACGACTCGACCCTAGAGAAGCGAGTGTTGCTTGGCTCGCAGGCCTTGGCAAGGACTCCCATTTGCCTTTTTTTTTTTTTTTCTTTCAATAATTTATTTTTATATTTTTTTATCATAAAATTAGGAGTGAAAATATATATAAAAAAATCATTATATTTTTTAGTTTTACATATAATTTGACGGTAATAGAATATATATGATTTTTTAAAGATTTTAGTTTGAACATATATATATCCGATTATATTATTTTTATTGTTTAAAATTTATTTCTTTAATTATTTGTTTCTTATTAAAATTCCCATCAAATTAATTTTTTAATTTTTATATAATTTTATTTTTTAATAAATTTGATTTTTTATATATTGATTTTGAAATAAATTTTAAGAACATGATTGTTTTATTTTTTAAAATATATTATTATAATTTATACGATTGATTATTTTTATGATTTTTAAATAAGAGTATTGTAGTTACATATATAAATTCCGATGAGAGAGAGAGTGCTAATAGTGTGTTTTAGATAATTTGACTTAATTTTTTTAAAAAATAATAATCTGTTAAAAAAATAATTTGACTCAATTTCTTTTTTAAATTAATAATTAGTTAACAATTCACATGTTTTATTTGATTATATATATATATATATATATATTTATCAAAACCAATTTTATAATATTTTTTATTTAAATCTATTCACTTCGATATATTTCATGCAATTTTATTCGATTTTTTTTGTGTATTTTTTTATTTATTCTATATATTCTGAATCTACTAAATACGATACATATATAGTAATTTTTTTAGAAATTAATTATATCTACACACATAACATCAATTTTTTTTTTATGTTCTAAAATTTATATTTTTAAATAAAATAATTTAATTAATGTTTTGAAAGAACCTCTTAATTATTCAAATACAAATTTTTATACTAATATTATAAATTATTTTGTTAATAAATATATATATTAATCAAATAAGTTCGCTTAATATATAAATTCGATTTATATTAATCTCCAGTAAAGAAAACTTCTACTCGCATTATACTATACGAATTGTTAACCCTACGTATATAATGGTTGTCCGACCGCAACGTAACACGAGTATCTAACTAGTTGCGAGTATTATACTTTTGTTTAATCATATAAATTGATTTTTTTTATTTGCTATATGATTATTAAAAAAATAAATCAAAACGAAGTTTATTATTTATTGGGCAATTTCAAATATTATTCATCTAGACTTATATACAATACTATTTGTTTTACTATCTAGTAGCATTTTTGTAATTTTTAAATATTATTAAAATATTTATTATGAAAAATTTTGTGACATTACATTTTGGTCTTTCTTTTTTAAATATTATTTTTTTATCCGTAAATATTTTTTATTTGATTTTGATCCCACTTTTTTGTTTTATTTAGGTCATTTTGTTCTTTATTTTGTTCTCTGATTTTTTAATTAAAAATTTTAAAATAAAAGGATGTTTTTGAAAAATAATTTAAAAAATAAGTTTTTATAAAAAAAAATGGATAGAGATAAATGAATAATATTTTTTAATAAAAAATTTATGAAAGTATAAAAAATAATTAGTCAAATATAAAATTTTGATTAAAAATGATAAAATTGAATGAATTTTTATCCTATTTGGATTTGATATATTTTTATAGACGTATAATATAACACAGTATATTAAAATAAAAATAATTTTATATATTTTATTTACTTCGCAGTGTTACCCAGGTAAAAAAATAAAAAAATTGATGACTTCTAAAGCAATACGTCAGCAAGGGTCAATGTCAACTTCATAGTTGGATATGTGAACTGACATGGTTGATTGTTTTGCTCGCCCATTTACGTAACCTTGTGGACTTTGAGGATAACCTTTCGACAACTTCCATAGTTTGTAACGATGATTATGACAATTCATAGTCAGTTGTTCATTGTGAGCATCATCATCATCAAGTCGCATATTTCTTAATCTATGGATTTAAATCCATCCATGGATAGTTTGTATAATTTTTAATTTTTATAACCTCTATGCGTGGGGTATCTTTCTGTGGAAAAGAAAAAAAACATGATGGGATTTTGTTGATATATATATAAACAAATCATCATTTCGTAATAACTTTTTATAGATGAGATTTCGAAGTTAGATTATTATGTGTCAGAATGTTGGGGATCAAACTTAAGTTTATGATATTGAAAAAAAGAGAGAGACAAGAACACAATGTGTTTATGTTAACAAAAACAACTAAAAGAATAAAAGTTGTGACTATTTATTCACTATTCAGTCCCTTACTAATCAATATCAACCGTGTGGCACTTTATATAATTTTGAGCCAAGACATTTTTGGAATTATGTAGCCTTTTTTTTTTTTTAGCATTCATATGTAAATTTTACATTATATTTTAATTTATCCTTTGATGTTTTCAAAAAATACTTTTGGTCTCTAAATGACTGAGACTTGTCTCTCTCTCTCTTTTGGCTTCTGTTTTTTAAAGCAATTTTTATTGAATTGAGTGAAAAAATTATAAAAAGCTAATAGTTAGTTTTTACAGTTTTTCATGAATATATATATTACTCTTATTATTAAACATTGATGTCTTCAATTTGTCGTTTTTTTTATGAAGATTCCCTTCAAATTTGTTTTTTTTCTTCTTTTTGATGTAATTTTATTTATTAACAAATATAATTTATTTTCCCCAAGGTATAGATTTTTGAATTTTTTTTTCAAAAATAAATAATTCATTTTTTTGGCTTTTGTTATTTTCAACTAATTTTTTTATTGAATTGAGTGTAAAAATTATACATCGAATTATATCACTATTATTTTTTAAAATTGATCTCTTCAATTTGTTATTTCTTATGAAAAATCTCTTTAAATTTTTTTATTCTTCTTTTTATATAATTTTATTTTTTTAATAAATATAATTTATTTTCCTCTCGCGTATGGATTTTTGACTCATTTTTTAAATAAATAAATAATTAAAAAATAGAATTAATGTATTTTAGTTGTTTATTCTTTATATAATCAAAATTTATTGGAATCAATTTTATAGTTATTTTTATCACGGTATATTAATTTCAATATATTCCTTATAACTTAATTTTTTTAAAAAATATTTTTTTGTTTATGCTTTATATTCTAACCCACTCGAGTATTGTCATGATGTACGTATAAAAAATACTAAGATCATTAGTTTTATTGAAAACTAACTATGCATAAGCTTAACACCAACCATTTATTATTGATTTTTTTTTTAAAAAAAATTAATTTCTTTCAAATAAAATAAGTAAAATAATATTTTAGAAGAATCACCTAATAATTCAACTTCAATTTTTTATACTAATATTATTTATTATTTTGTAGATAAATATATATATAAATCAAATATACATATTTTCGAAAAGTTAGTCTTCTCATCAATATTAAAGAACAATAAAAAAAAAATTCATTTGTTAAATTTTGTCCAAGTTTTTTATACTAATTATTGTTTTATTTTTATATTTATTTTTAAAATAATTATTGTTTTTATATTAATTATTATTTTCAATATATTCCTTACAACTTAAGTTTTTTTAAAAAAATATTTTTTTATTTGTGCTTCATACTCCGAGCCATTGAGTATGGTCATGATGTATATAAATAATAATAATAATAAGTTCATTAGTTTTATTGAAAACTAACTATGCGCACGCTTACCACCAACCATTTATTATTAATTTAAAAAAAATTAAATTAACTTCTTTCAAATAAAATAAGTAGAAATAATATTTTAGAAGAACCACCTAATAATTCAACTTTAATTTTTTATTCTAATATTATTTATTATTTTGTAGATAAATATATAAAAATCAAACATACATATTTTTAAAAAGTTAGTCTTCTCATCAATATTAAAGAACAATAAAAAAATATTCATTTGTTAAATTTTGTACAAGTTTTTATATTAATTATTATTTTATTTTTTCGATACAATCTTATAAAAAAAAACTATTAAGACATTTTAAAAATTTTATATTGAATTTTCTATTTAGATTATTATATTTTTTTTATTTAAGAATAAATGCATAAGAAATAATAAATCATGTTTTTTTTAACTAAAAAATTTATGAAAAACACAAAGAAGAATAAATTAAGTACAAAATTTTAACTAAAAAAATATGAAATTAAATGATTTTTTTGTTTTAATTTTATATATATTCAATTAATCGATAATATAGTACAGACTATTAAATTAAAATAACCTTATTTTGTTTATCTTTTAGGATAGCATAGAAAGTCTACTAATAACTCCTAATTAACTATGAGGGAAGTTGGAGTAGACATCTTACTGAATTGTTTTGATTGATTGTTGTTTTTCACCGCAGGCTTTTCAATCTTAAGCATGTTTTACTCGGAGAATTACCTCGTGGATAAAACTAATCTTAAGAAGTTGGTTTAGCAGTTAATGAAATTTGATCTTTTAATTGACTTTTTGAATTCAAATTTTAATATCAGGATTCAAAAAAAAAATTATTAAGATAAATACACTATAGATTTACTCTCATGTTGAGAATATTATAAAAAAACAAAACCTATTTCTCAAAGTGTCCAATTATTTTCTTGTACTGAATAGTAATATGTCAAGGGACCAAGTTCGTTTGACTCAATGCAAAAGGATATGATGGTCCCTTTCTCTAATGAATAAAAACAGAAACCTAATAATTGAGAATAAAAGTTAGGTTTTTCACACTGCCTTGAGGATCAAAAATCAGCTGATATTTCTACTTCATGGGCCTGGTGAAACTCAAGTTGGGTTTGTACTTTGCCTGACATAATGCTGTCTTAGGGCCACTGGGCCATGGCCTATTCTGTATTTTTCTTCTCTGTAAACTTTTTCGAACATTACAAAAATTAGGGCGTTTTGACTTGAATTTAATATAATTAAATATATTTAATAAATAATTTTTTTATTAAAATTTGATTATTTTATGAATTCATTAATCTATTTATTAAATAGATCAAATATAGATTATGTAACTATAAGGATTAATCCAATCTGTTTGGATTAAAATAATAGGAAAAAAAATAGTTAAGATTTGTTTGTTTCTCATGATATCATTTTATATTTTGAGAAAAAAACATTAGCCATGCCACCTTGAAGGGTCAATTAACCCTCTCAACTTCTCAAAAGTTACTATAATGGTATATAAAAAATATATTAAAAAAATAGTATTTTATATAGATGACCCTCTTGACATGTTGAAAAATGCGATGAAAAGGGGGTTAAATTTATCTTTTTTGCAAGAAAAGCTATTAAATGTTCGATATTTCAACTATTAAATGTTTCCTTAATTTTAAGCAATTAACTATTTTTTAACTATTTATTATTCTCCTTATATTTTATTTAATTTGTATTTAAAATTCTTCTCTCATTTGACGTTTATTTTCCTTTTTTTCATAATGGTGCTTTTATTTTATTTTTTAAGGACTTAAATATGATATTATTAGGATTGAAATTATCGATTAATCTTGGAATCAAATGACCCAAATAGTTTTCATACTTTCAGCTAGAGCTGTCAACAAATCGAACTCAATTCATATTATAGTATAATTGGATATAATTTGTTTAATGAAAGGAATTAGATCAAATCTTTTGAATTTATATCGGGTTTTGAAAATATAATTTTGAATCTCGATCCGAATGGATGTAGACCGTATTTGGAATTCTATCGGATTTATCAATTTTTTTTTGTAAAAAAATTATGCTTGCTATATTTAATATATTGCTTGAATATAAAATATATTAAGATAATATTTCATTTATTAATTTTGTAAAAAATTCAATATGCCATACATTTCAAAAGTATAAAATTAAATAATCTTAATAAAATTTTGTGTTTAACTAAGTAAAAAGTATTATAAAACTTAAAAAATAAAAAATAAATAATTTTTATTTTTCTTTTCACGTAGTAGCAAAAATAAGGTGATGACGAATATGATAACACCTACTCTCGAAAAGTACATAAGTCAATTTATATTTTTTTTACAAAATTAAATTAAGAAAATGATAAGAATTTATATGTAATTTTTTTTTGAAAATACAATTGTTCCTGTAAAAGGGTATGAGTTATTTAAATTTAATAATAAATAAACCATAAATTTTAACTTAGTTTCACACACACATACACACACAGATATTCACATTTAAATTACTAATATCTAAAAATATTATTTTTAATTTTAGGTTGTATTATAATCAAATCGGATCAAGATATACCTAAATTTGATTTATTTAATAAATAAGTTAACGGATTCGGATCATAATCGAATTTGGATAAAAATAAATATTTATCAAATTCATTTAATTATATAGAATTTGAGTTGAATTCGAGTCAAGATCTGATCCATTTAAGCCTTACTTCAGCTTTATTATTTTTTTAAAAAAAAATTCTCAATTTTAATAAATAATATTAAAAGTATTTAAAATAATGTCTAAATATGAATTGTGTAAAGGTTTAAGTTTTTTAAATAACCCTTTTGAAAATATTTAATTGCTTCAACACTAAGAAAAATACCCATATATGTTTCTTAATATCAATAACATATAAAAATCTAACAAAAAAAAAAGCTTTAATTCCAAGTTTGATATTATCACATAATTTCTATGCAATTCCGACAATTATAAATCTACAAAAATTGACTCAAAAATACTAAAATTTAAAGCTTGAAATAAAAATTAAGACTCAATAATTATAATCCAACAACAACAAAGTTATACATAATAAAAAAAAAGTTTGAAATTGACATAAAATTTTTTTTTAAAAAAATTCTAACATAAGATAGTTAGAAACTCGTTGTCAGCATCCGGAATGATAAACAAAAAGTAAAAAAGCACACAATACATAAGTTCCTGTCTTTAACAACAAGACAAACTTTAAACCCTTAATATTACCCAAAAACATCATCCCAAGAATCCAATGACCTACTTAATTATTCCCTTAATCCTTTCTTAATTACATTCAAAACCAAGACCAGCTAACGATGATATCAAAACAAACATTTCCCTTTCTATCTGTCTATGATGCAATGAAAAGTAGTATCAAACTTTCTCTTTTAATTTTCCCACATTTTCTCTCTTTCCAAACACAACTCCTTTTCTTCTCTCTCTTCTGACGCATCTCTGCTAAGATTTGTCACTTTTCACTTAAAAGCTCTTTGCCTTTCAGAATCTTTCTCTCTCTAAAAAAACCCACAAAAAAACTCTTCTTTTTCCACTTCGATCATGCTTCAAAGCTTAATTCCTCGATCTCCTATCAATTCCACAGACCCCAACAATTCTTCTTCTTCCTCTTTCATGAAATCCAAGCGCGCCGCTGCTGACCTCACTGCCGGCGAGTCCTCCGCTGATGACCCTTCATCCAAACGGGTCAGTAAGGAAAAACCCACCACGGAAATGGAGTCCTTCTCTACCGCTGTCGAAGTTGGCGGGGCAGACGACGGGGGTGAGTCTAGTGGGCTCCGGTTGCTGGGGCTCTTGCTGCAATGCGCGGAGTGTGTTGCGATGGATAATCTAGTTGACGCGACGGAGTTGTTGCCGGAGATAGCGGAGCTGTCGTCGCCGTTTGGATCGTCGCCGGAGAGAGTGGGAGCGTACTTTGCTCATGCTTTGCAGGCGCGTGTGGTTAGTTCTTGCCTCGGTACCTACTCACCGCTCGTGTCAAAGTCAGCGACGCTAACTCAGTCACAGAAACTATTCAATGCTTTGCAGTCTTATAATTCGATCAGTCCTTCGGTCAAATTCTCTCATTTCACTGCTAATCAAGCCATTTTCCAAGCACTGGACGGTGAAGATCGTGTCCACGTCATCGATTTGGATATAATGCAAGGACTTCAATGGCCAGGATTGTTTCATATTTTAGCTTCACGGCCTAAAAAGATACGGTCCATGAGAATTACCGGGTTTGGATCTTCGTCCGAGTTGCTTGAGTCCACCGGGAGACGGCTTGCCGATTTCGCAAGTTCGCTCGGTCTCCCCTTCGAGTTTCATCCTTTAGAGGGTAAGATTGGGAGTGTGACGGATTTGAGTCAACTCGGGGTGAAGCCGAGAGAGGCTATTGTAGTACATTGGATGCATCATTGTTTGTATGATGTAAGCGGGAGTGATTTAGGGACGTTGAAACTGTTGACTTTGTTAAGGCCGAAATTGATCACGACCGTAGAACAAGATTTAAGTCATGGGGGGAGTTTTTTAGGGAGGTTTGTTGAGGCATTGCACTATTATAGTGCCTTGTTTGATGCCCTTGGGGATGGATTAGGTGTGGATAGCGTAGAGAGGCATATGGTGGAGCAGCAATTGTTTGGGTGTGAGATTAGGAATATTGTTGCTGTTGGTGGGCCTAAGAGGACCGGTGAGGTCAAGGTTGAGAGATGGGGTGATGAGTTAAAACGGGTCGGGTTTCGACCCGTTTCGCTTGGAGGTAACCCGGCCGCTCAAGCTAGTTTGTTGCTTGGGATGTTTCCATGGAAAGGCTATACTTTGGTTGAGGAAAATGGGTGCTTGAAGTTGGGGTGGAAGGATTTGTCCTTGTTGACTGCCTCGGCGTGGCAGCCCTCCGATTGAATGATTGCTTTATCGATTTGAAGCCGATCATCGGTTTGATTGGAGTCAAATGCCACACCAAAATAGAAAATTAGGGCTGATGATTGATGATGGTGATGGCATTGGATCAATGGTAATGGGGGGATTTTCTGTTTTTGTAATAATGGACAACAAATGTTTTGCTTCCTTTTGAGGCAACCTTTTACTTGGGGAGGTTTATGAAGATTTTTGATGGCCAAAGTTCTAACCTTCACTTTGTTGTAATTCTTTGAAGGGAAAGAAAGTAGCTTATCAACCTATTTTCAATCCAAAGTTACATCACTTTTGAAGAAAAAGTTTCTTCGGAAAAGTGGTAAGAAAAGAAAGGAAGATAGTTCCCAATTAGTTTGGAGGTAGCTTATCAAACTTGTAAATGCTAATTTCTATTTAAAAGTGATTGAATTTTTAAAGAATTGCACTTGTTTAATCCGTTTAAATACTTGATAATTGGGATTTGTGTGTTTTTGTGTCTTTGTTTATTCCATCTCTTTATGGTTGTGGGGTTGCATGGAATTTAGGAGCAGAGCGATATCAGATATGGCTGTGTTTGATTCCAAAATAGAAGCTTGGACCATCTCTAAATAATTCACTTCTTTCTATCCTCTCATGACAGAGTATTTGTATTTATCTCATGGTGTTTTTTGTGTTTCATCAGCAGCTCACATCTTCTATGTTCCATCATAGAGTGAAAGAGATTAGGAGAGAGTTTTTTATTTTTTTTTCCGTAAAAACACCAATTCGAGTTTGTTTTTTCATAACAACACTAATTACAGAATAGTTTTTCATTTAAAATTAGACATAGGTTTGTTTGTTTTTCGTTAAAGCACTAATTCGAAGAGAGTTTTTCATTTAAAATTAGACGTAGGTTTGTTTTTCGTGTTATTATTTCGGTTTAAAATTGAGAAAAGAAAACGAGAAATCTACGACATTGAATAATACTTGTATAAATAATTTGTTTTTGAATGTTGATAACTCCATTTAGACTTAACCGAATTGGGATTTAGTCTTGATACATATAAATTGTGAAACAAGTTGGGGAGTTAGGGTTGGTAATGAAAAATGATGGTTTGGAATATGAATTTTGAGATGCAAATGGAAGATTTTTTAGGAGGGTTGTAAAGAAAGTTGTGGGTCTGGTGAATGGAAGTTATATGTGAAGAAAGAAGAAACAATATACAGGACAAAGAAACACAGCTAATAATGAGTGGTAAAGGCCAAACAAACGAGTCCAACACGTGATGCATCAATGAAATTGAAAGCTCAGCTTATGATGTGAGATAGATGCTACTTTCTATTGTTATTTTAACTAACCTTGAAAGGGTTGTTCTAATCTTTAACAAAATTTGCTCACTTTATATATATATACACTTTTTAGATTTAAATTTGAACTAATATTCAGTAAAATTTATTAAATTTCTCTTAAAAAATATTTTTGTTAGATCATTAAAAAAATAATAATTTTGATCGGCGTATAAATTGATCCGAAAGCAATCTCTAAACTCAAATATGGACATACAGATAATGAGATATAGCCTAACAAGTAAAGAATATTGTTTTAATTTGACTTCTATGAAAATTTAATTTTTATTATTTACGAATAACGAATTATAATTATTTTTTAATTGTATTGAATTTGAATTGGTTTGATCTAAAGAGCAATCTAATAATCAATTAAAGATATTTTGATATTAGTTTAATTCTAAAATTTTAATTTAAAAATAATGAATTTAATCTCGATTAATATTAAAAAAATCAGTTTTTCAATATATATATATATATATATATATATATATATATATATATATATATATATATATATATAGGATGTGGTGGGATGGAGAGACATAATCTTTTGTCGGAAAGCAATTACTAATTACAATATATGCAAATAGTAATAAAGTAAAGTAGGTTAATGTCAAATGTCTTAAAAGAAGATAAATGATGATCTTCTCTTACAAAAAGTGGGGGATTGTTTGTTTTTCTTCTGCTCAATTATTTTGGGGGTAGAAATAGGCTGCAAAGTTTTGGAAGATTTGATTGATAGAATGTCCATCACTGTACTTGCTGTGATTCAGATTCTTATTTTATATTATGATGTCTTCCTTTGGGATTGACACCTTTGCAAGTTGTATGCATTTATTAACTATACAATTTTGGCATCATTTTCCACCACATTTATTTTCTATTTAATAATTAAATCAAACAATGTATGCATAGGCTTTTAGTATGGTAGCAGCGAGATTCTTACATTTACAATAAATTACGGGCTCAAGTTTTATTTATAAAGTATTTGAGTTTAAAAAAAAAACATTGTGACATACTTAAAAGGAATTAATTTTTTTATGAAGTAAATTATAAATTAGTTCCTTAGTTTTGCAAAACTAATTAAATAGTTTTTCTTGTCTTAAAAATAAATTAATTAGTCTTCTAATCAATGTTGATCATGATTAGTTTAATATCACTTTTTTTTAAAAAAAATATTTTTTTCATCCATCTTTTCATATTTTTTTTATATTTATTAAAAATGCAAAGTAAATTTTAAAAAAGGAAAAGTATCATGTTAAAAATAGGTTTAAAATATAAGGATTAATTAGTTAATTATTAAAACTAGAAAAATTATTTAATTTCTTTGAAAAAATAAAAAGACTAATTTATAATTTAATCTAAAAAATGAATTACTAACGTATCATGCGAGGTAACTAGCATGCAATAAAGAAAGAATATTAAAAAAAAAAAAAATTGTTCTATGGGAAATCCATGACCAAAATTGGATCCAAGAAAGAGGGCCCAAAGTATGAGACCCAGGCAGATGCCAGACCAACCCGTAGAGGCCCAAAATGCACATAATACGGACAGATTGTTGTTTGAAGAATTTCTTTCTTTCTTTCTTTCTTTTTTTCTTTTTCCTTTCCTTTTCTTTTCGCATTAACAAAAAGGAAAAAAATAAGAAAATTTTATGACATCATCAATCCGATTCTAACAATCAATTTTATTAAATGTAAGTTTATACTATACAAGGAAGTCACTAAAAAAAAATTCAAATTAATCATAGATTTGATTTCTTAAGTTTTTTTATTTTTTATTTAGTTCCTTATATAAATTAAAGAAGAGAAAAGTGCTCCAAATTAGTAATAGAAATTTTTATAATATGAAGATAGCAAACCATTCAATTGAGAAAAAAGAAATTTTGGTTAAACTATATTCTATACTATATGATTAAGTAATATTTTACCTCAATTCTTATAGTTTCTAGAAATATTTAATATTTTTGTTGTTAAAAAAATAACAAAACATTATAAAATGGTTATTTTTTTAAACCCTTTTGTTTTATCTTTTCATGTTTTCTTTTTCATCTTCCCTTACAAATCCCCATACTTACGATCATATCTCAAAAAGTTTGCTCGCAGTTATTTTTCATTATATATTTTATAATTGTTAGTTAGTAAATTGTGTTCTATTTTAATCATTAGTGATATATTTTATATCAAATTGTTAAATGTATAATTTTAATGAACGCTGTGATCATAATGTGGATTTGTTTTCTTTAATAAGATTAAAAAGATGAAATTAGATTCGATACATAAAAGTTGGTTTGAGAATCTCTCTCTGCCTGTAAAATCAAAAAGCTAATGGTATTATTTAACATATGGGTGATCTTGGAACATTTTGAAATTTGTAGAATTAATTTTGAGAAATTCTAAATTATAAAGACTAAAGTAAAATATCTTAAATTTAGAGAGGCTAAAATATAGTTGACCCAAGAAAACATCCATCCAAGGTAATCAAACCCGCAGAAGAAAGAAGAAAAAAAAAGAAAAAAAAAGAAAAAAAAAAAAAAACCACTCTCTCTTTCGGTGCCTCCACTGGAAAAAACATAACCGAGACAGGACACAAAACCAGACCAGCAACCAGACCAAATTCTCGGTTCACCCGAAATTCCGATAATCAGCTGATCTAGGTTACAACCCAACAAGAATTTTCCCTCAAAACGTCTCCACAGCCAGATAGATCACCGGTGAAAACCCAGAGAATCAGTGGGGTCAAAACAATCGGTCCGACCAGAATTCACCCATGTTTGTCTCTTACAGAACTAAGTAAATTTCTTTTCTTTCACTCATGTTTGTTTATTTATTTTTTTCAATTTTCTTGAATTATGTTTCTAGGTCAAACAGTATGATTTAGTCCATTTTAGTACCATTTAGTATTTGTGATATTCTGGGTTTTAGTCTTATAATGTAATAACCTGATAAAAATATTGCTGACTTGCATGACTTTTGGAATTTTAGTCAATGGCATAAAACTATGAAATGGGCTAACATTGTACTAGTAATATAAGATGTGGGTTGTCTTTCTATGATGATCTTTTGTAGCTATCGACTTTAAAGTTTCAAACTTTTGCCTTCTGGGAAGTAATTTTTCTTTGTGAAGTATAATGTGAACCTAGTTTAATTCATATTATCATCATTTAATGATTAAGGGTGCCTTACTTTGTTCTGTTGTTGTGTCAAACTGTAGGAATTGAGGTCCAGCTGACAGGTTTGTACAACTAGGAAAGGCAACGTTGGTGTTGTTCAGGTTTTATCGGTTACTTTTGTTTCAGTTGAAGAAGAAAAGTTGATAGTGTTGAAATAGTTGTTTAGTGATTTGTGAAGGGTTAATTTGGAAAATGGAGGAGTTTTTGGAACCATCGCCCGTGACACGCCAAAAACAAGACTTGGCATGGAAATATTGTCAAATGTTTAAGGAAGGAAAAAAGACGCACATGAAGTGTATATATTGTGGTAAAATGTTTAAGGGTGGTGGGATTCATAGGTTTAAGGAGCATCTTGCTGGTCGTAAAGGTGGTGGGCCTATGTGCCAAAGTGCTCCACCTGATGTTCGGCTTTTAATGCAGCAGTGTCTTGATGGGGTTATAGGGAAGGAGAACAGTCAGCAACTGAAGATTCATGAAGAAGCAAGCAATGTTGATTTGCCTCCTAGTGAGGTAGGCATGTTTTCAAATCCCTTCGGCAATTTTGAATCGACTCCAGGAACGCGAAGGAAAAAAGACGTGGGATGGAAGCATTGTGAAATGTTGAGAAACGATAAAAGGGTGCAGATTAAGTGTGATTATTGTGACAAATTGTTCAAGGGTGGCGGCATTCATAGATTTAAGGAGCATCTTGCTGGTAGAAATAGTGGTGGTGTTCCTAGTTGTACACGAGTTCCATCTGATGTCCGGGATTTGATGCAACAACATTTAAGTCCTATTGTAGCGAGGCAAAGAAAGAAACGAAAGTTGAAACAAGAAAAGTTAGACGATGTTGATTCACCTCCTAGTGGTGAGGATTTAGACATATTTGCTGATCATAGTGACGATGTGAACACCCCACATCAAGCTGCTGCAGCGTGCCATTTAGCTGAAGTAAATTCAGATTTCTTACTGGATGGAGAAGGAACAAATAATGGAAATTTGGGTAAAAGAAAGAGTGCAAGAGGTAAGACAACTTCTGCTATTGCTGTTGCTGCTGCAGATGATGCCGATGCTTTAATGGCACCGGGTTCAGAAACAGCAGATAATCCAATCCATGTGACAATGGGGCGGTTCTTGTATGATATTGGAGCTAGTTTAGATGCACTGGACTCGAATTTTTTCCAACCATCGATTGATGCTGTTGCTTCTGGACAGTCAGTGGTTGCTGCACCCTCACATCAAGATCTTCGTGGTCGAATATTGAAGAGCCTGGTCGAAGAAGTAAAAAGGGATATCGATCAATATAAGGCAAGATGGGTGAAGACTGGTTGTTCTCTTTTGGTCGAAGAATGGAACTCAGAAAGTGGTATAACTTTGCTAAATTTTTTAGTGTATTGCTCTAAAGGAACAGTATTTTTAAAATCGGTGGATGCATCAAACCTTATATATTCAACAGATGGTCTGTTTGAATTGCTTAAACACATGGTGGAGGAAGTTGGAGCTGGAAACATTTTGCAAGTTATTACCAATGGTGATGAACATTATATTGCTGCTGGGAAAAAATTAATGGATACTTTCCCTTCCTTGTATTGGGCTCCCTGTGCAGCTCGTTGCATTGATCAGATACTGGAGGATTTTAGAAAACTTGATTGGATAAATACAGTGTTTGAACAGGCAAAATCTGTCACAAGATTTTTCTACAATAATAGTGCAGTGTTGAACCTGATGAGGAAGTTTACTTATGGCAGTGACATTGTGCAACAGGGTGTAACACGTTCTGCTACTAATTTCACTGCATTGAAACAAATGGCTGATTTCAAACTTAATTTGCAAACTATGGTAACCTCACAGGAGTGGATGGACTGCCCTTATTCAAAGCAACCTGGAGGATTAAAAATGGTAGATATTATAAATAACCGGTCATTTTGGTCTTCTTGCACCTTGATCATCCGTTTAACAAGTCCGCTCTTGGAAGTTTTGGGAATAGTTAGCAGTGAAAACAGGGCTGCAATGGGATATGTTTTTTCAGGAATATATAGAGCCAAAGAAACCATTAAGAGAGAACTTGTCAAGAGAGAGGATTATATGGTCTACTGGAATATTATAGATCGAAGGTGGGAACAACAATGGCAAACTCCTCTTCATGCTGCAGGTTTCTTCCTTAACCCCAAGCTCTTTTATAGCATTGAAGGGGAAATGCACAATAAGATTTTGTCGAGCATGTTTGATTGCATTGAGAGATTGGTTCCTGATACTGAAGTCCAGGATAAGATTGCCAAAGAGTTGAACTTGTACAAGAATGCGGAAGGAGATCTTGGGAGGAAGATGGCAATTAGAGCTAGAGAAACTTCGCTTCCTGGTATGGTTACTTTCATCATATTTTGATTGGTGTTGCTGTTGCCATACAGTCTTCTGATTCTCTGCTTTCTAGCAAGAGCTTTCTAATATATTGGTTTGCTTGATAGTAAGCCTGTAAATGCTGCCCTAAATACTTGCCATATGTACACTGAAACCGTGTATATGCAATCATTGAGCAACCTCTAAGAAAATATTGTCATCATAAATTTCAAATTATTCTCAAACTCATTTCATACTGTAAGTAGCATAGAACATTTAGGAATATTGATAGAACTTCTTATGCCTTTTCAGTGCGTTTCTGAAATTGCTACCATGGCAGACCTATTAGAAGTAATGCATCTTGTAGTGGGCTATATTAATTCTTTGCAATTTCCTTGCATGTACAATAATTTTTTTTGTCATATTGCTACAACATTTCGTTATCGTCAATTTTATGTGGAACTGATTTCTAAATGCACCTCATCATTTTAGCTGAATGGTGGTCTACTTATGGTGGAGCCTGCCCAAATTTGGCACGTTTCGCTATTCGTATTCTCAACCAAACCTGCAGTTCAATTGTGCGTAGCCATAATCATATCCCCTTTGAGAAGGTGCATCGCACAAGAAACTGCCTACAGCGTCAACGGCTAAGTGATCTTGTGTTTGTTCAGTACAACCTTCGTCTTAGTCAGATGTAAGTGAAACTAATGACTGTCTTGTAGTAGTTATTTGACAATCGGAGAGGAAAGGGATTTTGTTCTTTTGCATACTGATTTCATTGCAGGGTTGATGGAAACAAAAAACAGATTCCTGAGGATCCCATATCATTCGATGATATCGGTATTATTGAAGACTGGATTGCGCAAAATGAGCTTTGCCTAGACGACTATGGGAGTTCAGATTGGATGTCACTAGTTCCGCCTTCTGTTAATACGATGCCAATTGCACCATCAACTGATGAAAGTGAAGACGTCGCTACTGGTAATTGCAGTTGCTATATTTGAAAATGCCTCAAAGCACTTTTTCTTAATCAAACTAAACGCCTTGGTCTGTATGCAGGGTTTGATGATTTTGAGATCTTTGATGGATTGAAGGAAGTTTAAAATGCAAAACGGAGATGATATGGCAGACCACTTGAACTTCATCCAACTACACATGAAGAGTTAATATTGATGACTGGTTATATGTTGCTGCATGCTCGCATCCGAGAAAGGTACTGTAAGATAGTATGTTTGAAGCTATTTGGAGCTAGTTTCGGGCTGTGCCTCCACTCAGGCATGGCACTGATGTTGTGCCATTTGGACCTCCCTTGACATAATTGATTACTTAAAAGTGCAGTTGGGGCTGTGACTCCAACTACGCATGGTTTTGCTCTATGTTTGAGATCACTTGAACTTCATCCAAATCTGCAGAGCGCAGAACAAAATCTGCAAATGCAGCGACAACATAGCTTCCTTTTCATGGGAATCAGGATCATTTTCTTTTCATGGTTTTAAGTTGATGCACCTTAAACCGTTATGACATCAAGGAGAATTAACAAAAACATATTGCTGGGTAAAAACACATCCTTGAGGATGTATCTTCATAAAATAATGAATGGTAAGAGTTATCTTTTGAATTCTTCCAATCAGACTTCGAAGGAAAAACAGGGGTAATGTGTTTCTAGGTGACATTTGATAGTTCTGATGCTCTGGTTGAGTGACTAAATAGCTTGATTTCAATCTGTCTTCATAGATATCACATCTGAATGTTTCACTTGAGAATTTAATAGAGCCTCCAGAAAAGTTTGATAGCTTTCATCACTTGATAGGTATAAAGAGTTTCCAAGGAAATAGATCGAAAGCATTTGCAATCCAATCAATAAACTAATAAATGCAAACTTGAATATTACATGAATTTCCGAAGAAATACAGCACTTTTCTTGTCAAATGGATTGATGTAAGGGACGATCATGAAAAACAAATTCCCTGACTGACGCTCAAAAACCTAACCTAGAAAGCATGCTAATACAGCTTCCAACCTCTTGTGTATAAACTGGTATGAAACAAGGAACTAAAAAATAAAATAAAATAAAACTTAAGAAGGCAAAGAAACCTGAAACATAGAGCAAAACCAAAATTCAAAATGCCAAACCTAATAACGCTTCCCAAGAATTACACCAATGATGATAGATACCAATGCAACTCCCAAGATGAATTGAAAGGACATGGAAGTTGAAACATCTGCGATTCGAGTATGGGTCTGATCAGAAGAGGATGAGGGTTGTGCAGATGCAGCTTCTAACTTTTTCTTGCTCTTTCTTTTTGTGGGTGCTGAAATGGCGGCACCAATGTCTCTGGATTTGATCTCTACTCCTTCCTGTTCAGCTGGATTGCTTGCATCGCCCTGCATCATATCTCAGTGTAAACAATTGTTTGATTTTTACTTTCAAATTTTCGCAGGGAGGAACTAATGCTCTCCATGGTCAAATATAGTTCTCAATTCTCGAGGGTGAAAACCAAAGATTTTTCCTCTGTGTTTTCTCTTCTTTTTTTCACTATTAATCTTGAAACCAAATAAGTCATGGGGAAAGTAAGAAGAAAATGATTTAAAATTGAGGGGAAACATGTCAAGGTGGAGATGAGACTTGAGAGGTCCTGTTTTTTTAATGGAAATGGAAAGGCACATATCCATGCATGTCCCCAACTTAATTGTCCTCGCAGCTTTTGTTTTTTTTCAAATTGAAGGAGGTAGAATAAACTGACCTTTTCTAATATTTTAGCATCAGTCACTTGCAGTTTCTGTTGAAGTTCCTTGACTTGGTTCTCTAGATGTGCAACTTCTTTGTTCTTGGCCTCAAGGTCTTCAAGGGATTTCTTCAGAGCTGCTTCTTTTTCAATCTCATTTTGAGAATGTGCTTTTTTCTGTTTGGTTAGACAGTAAAGAGAAATGTCAGTAAAGTATTTCACAAGGTCCTTGCATTAATTTTCCACTACATAAAAAAAAAAAATGGGAGGTCTATATGAGCATACAGTCAGAGATATTATGCAGTATTCAGTCATAAAATTAATGGAACATCAGAAACCTATTCTTGAACTTGTGTTTGATTCTTGAGACAATACCTGTTCCTTTAGTTCAGCTTCGGCAATGGTTAATTGTTTTTCAAGTTCCTCGAGAGAAGTTTGCAATGCTGACTTCTCAGCAACCTCAGCCTTGAGACTTCCAATCTCAGATTTCAAGGTATCTTCATTCACCTTCAGTCCTTTCAATTCTTCTTCAAGCTGGATGATCACTGACTGAAGTTCCTTCTTTCCATTTTGATATGTTTCATTGAGCAGGTTATTCTCTTCCATAACTGAAGATATCTGCAATTTGAAAATGCATCAAGTTAGAAGACTATGGCCAAAAGAATCACCAGATCATTATTTACCAAGAAAAGAAAAAACAGAAATGATGTTACAAACCTGAGACTGTAGTTTCTGCCCTTCAACAGTGAGCTGCTGTCTCAAATCCTCTACAGCCTTCTTCGAAATGTGAAGCTGCTCAACAGTTTCATCCTTCTCGGAAAGGATTGCAGACAGTTTTGGCTCTAATTCACTGATTTTGGACTCATATGAGGCCAGCTCCTGAGTGAGCTTCAAATTCGCCTCAGCTAGCCCTCCACTCTCTTTTTCATAGTGACCTGACTTGGTTTGCAGTTCCTCTACAATGGCTTCCAGATGTTTACTTTTGAGGAGAGTCTCTTCCAGCTCTACTTTTCGAGATTCAGCGCTTGCAGATGCTTCATGAGTCTGTTCTTCATACAATTTTACTTGCCCTTCAAGTGCACTTAGTTTTTCATTCAAATCCTTTGTTTCTGCATCCCTCAAAGAGAGGCTCTGAATGGCCTCTTTTAATCGTGTTTCAGCTTGCACCAATCGTGACTCAGTTGCAGAATGGAGTTCTATGGCTCTTGAGTGCTTGTCTGTTATTTCTGTGATGGTGCTTGAGTGAGAAGCAAGTCGTTGAGATGTTGTTTCCTTCTCAGAAATAGCAGAATTTAGCAATTCCTGAAGTTCATTGATCTTGCTTTTTAGCTGATTGTTTGTCTCAACTAAGAGTTCATTTTCTGAGGAGGAGTTGGAAACCTTAGTTTCTGCTTCCACAATCTGACTTCTGAGTTCTTCATTGGAGGTTTCCAAAGCTGCCATTTTTAACAAATACACGTCCAATTCTTCCTTCAAACGTGCAGACCTTCCAGTTGCTTCAGTTATTTGCTCTTCATATGTCTTTACTTGATCTTCAAGGGTATTCAATTTCTCAAACAGGGATTTTGACTCAGAATCCTTGTTGGCGAAGTTTGCTAATGCTTCTTGAAGTTTAATTTCTGAATCCCTTGTTAGGGTTTCATGCAATGACTCTAGCTCTGACTTCCGTGTAGTGGCTTCATCTAATAACTTTTCTTGCTGCTCAAGTTGCTCCTCTGCAGATTTGAGCTTCACCACTATATCACTTTCTTTCAATCCAGCAGCCTTTAGTTCGTTTTCAGTGCTTTCCAACTTCTCCTGCATAATGGTTAATTCATTACGCAACACTCCCACGAGATTCTGAGCTTCTGTCAGCTTCTCATTGGAGCTGCTTGATGACTCTTCCAACTTTTTCTTTTCATCAGTGACCAAATTCAGTAGTTCTGTTAGCTCTTTCTCCTTCTCCCTGGCCATTTGCAATGCAACTTCAAGGCTTGATGCCTTTGCTTGGTGTGCCTCAATTTCAGAGGCTAGTTCAGATATCTTATCAGAGTGTTTATTGGAATCTGCTTCTGCATCCACACATTTCTTTTCTAATGCACTGTTCTGCTCTTCAAGTTCCTTGATTCTGTACTTTTCTGCTTCAAGCAACAGCTCCAACTCACTCGCCTTTTTCCGGCGTCCTCTACTTTGGAATGAGATGTCTGGAACAAATCTTCAAGTTCAAGGCTGCGCTGATGGTGCATATTTGCTCGGTCCTCGTGCTCAGCACATTTTTCTTTTGCAAATTTCAACTCCTCCTCAAGCTTTGAATTCCGAGATGATGATTGATTCAGGGAAGATTCAAGTTGGCTTATCTTTTTCTGGTATTCCTCCATCTGGCCACTTAATTGCTTCTTTTCTTCCTCGACCTCTTTCAAAGCAGTACTGAGTTCAGATATTTTCCCTAAGAATTCTCTCACCTCTCTCTCAGAATCGCTGCTTTTTAGTTCGACCAAATTCAACTGTTGCTCAAGCTCCACATTCTTCTGCTCTGCTGCAATAAACCGTGTCTCAAGCTCTCTCAGTTGTGATTTTGCTTCTTCTGCTGCTTGATTTGAAGCTTTGATTAAATCCTCAAGCTCCAGGTTCTTTTGAGAAACAGTAGCTGCAGCAGCTCCGGATTCATTGTGGACATCTTCCAGAGACTTCAACTTCTGTTCTAGCTCTCCATTGTTCGACAAAGCTTGGGACAAAAGAGAATCTGCTTTACTGAAATTCTCGTCTGAAATTTTCAACTTTTCCTCAAGTTCACTGCACAATTCTTTCATCAATGCTGCATTACTAGTGAGATCCACCATGGCTGCCTCTAGAGCTTCTTTTTCTTTAATTACTTTAGCCAATTCTTCCCGTACAGTCAAGACCTGTGCTTCATGGGTTTTCAACCCAGCCTCAACTGATTCCCTTGTGTTGATTTCCTCCTGGAACTTCAACTTGATGCCTTCCAACTCGGAAACCTTTGCTCGAAGATCATCTTTAGTTGCAGTGAGCAAATTCTCAAGAGCTGAGAAATCTTCCTTCCCCTGAGATTCTGAAGCTTTCTTTAGGTCCAATTCCTGGGTCAGTTTGCTGATGAGAGAATCCTTTGAAGAAAGTCTCTGCTCTACGTCCAACAGCTGTGATTTTGAAGCGGCCAACTCTTCGTTAGCTGCTGAAAGTTCTGCTGTGGTGCTCTTAAGTGCCTCTTCAACTTTCTGATTCTCAGCAACCTTCTCGTACAGGCCCTTGACTTCCTCCTGAAGAGAAGCCATCTGATCTTCCAATTCTTTCGCACTCAGTTTCGCTGCCTCAAGCAACCTTTCGAACTCCAAGGCCCTCTGCGTCTCAGAATCAGCATGTGAACCACTTTCTTTGTGCAGCTCCTCAAACTTTTTTTCTCACCAGCAGATACTGCCAGCTCATGTTCCAACTCTTGCATCTTCTTTCTTGAATTCTCGAGCTCAAGGCTGATGCCATCAAATGATTCCTTCACCTCAACCAATTCCTTATGCTTGGTTTCTTGTGCTCGTAAAGCTTCTTGCGAAGTGTTGAGCTGTGCAGTATATTTCTCCTCTGCTTCAATTATCTGCTCTTGCAATTTCTTGTTACTGATTTCAAGTTTCTCGTACTTCTTTCCACTTTCATCCAACATCTCATAGGCCAGCAAGACATCATCCTTCATACGTGCATTCTTGGATTCGGAATGCTTTAACGCTGCGGCCACTCTTTCCAATTCGAGCTCAAGTTCCTTCAACTTCTCTTGGGCCTCAAGCAATTCTCTGGTCGAACCGCTTAAACTGCTTTCCACAACAGATGGTTTGTCAGCCTCCTCAGCAGACTGTGCCTCAGCTGTATGAGAGCCATCCTTCACATCAAGTGATTCCTTCTCGACTTTGATGAATTCTCCATCTGTTTCATCCTCTTCTTTCTTTCCTTCCTTTGCAACTTGCGGCAAGTCTCCATTTCTTACCTGTAATAACATCACAAAAATCAAGACTGGGCTGACATCGAAGGTTTTTTTTTTTTTTTTTTTTGAAAAAAACTCATATTTCAGCAGGTTTCTGCAATCCAGGCTAATGTCAGTGTGGATTAAGGCATTACCTTAATAGGACCGGCAACATCAGTGTCAACCTTCGCAACTGGAACTTCTGAACTGACTTGAGTCTCTCCTTCCATATTAAAGGAACTTCACCTTACTAGATTTGTCCTTCTGACATTGAAACAAATCGACAGTTGACAATGTTGTTTTTTCATCACATAGCACAACGATTCACATAGTACAAGATACAAAGACAAGAAGGTGTTGGTAGATTACATTTGACAAAGTCTTTAGTTACTATATCCAGTGCATTGCTCTCATACATGTAAATTAGAAAGGGACAATGGTGACTGGCTAAGGCGCCATAGTACATTAACAGCATGGGATGTCACCTTCTGAGTATCTAGCATATTTTCAAATAAATATCGTTACGTTATATAACCATCGTTATGTAATGATTTCGAAACATTTTTTTTATTATTATTTTAATATTATAATAAGTTAGGATTTACGATGATAAAGACGGTTATTTTTTCACTCATCCGTTATTTAAAACTATGAAATCGAGGCAGTTCAAATGGTTTTTTATAATAATATTTTCTTTTTTATATAAAAAAAATATTATACTACGATCAAAAAATAAAATATGAAAAAGTAAATAGGTAATTTTATAAAATGCCAGGTCAATTAAGATGGAATTAGTGAATTACATGGCAACATGTCTTTGATTGGACTTTCACGTGCGAGCCGACAAAACCACCTGACGTGGCAACCTAAATAGGACATGGCAGAAATACATTTCCTAAAACCTAAAATTCCAAGATGCCACATTTTACCAGGCTGTTTTCTTTGTCCTCTACATGCCCACCTGAGAAGGGCTGTCGACCCGATAGATATCCGTCTAGAAACAAACCGACTTTATCCGAAAAAATTTATAATACTTTAAAAAATAATTATTGTCATATAAAAAGCCATATATATCACATCCAGATATACTAAAAATGATAAAAAGATTTAAGAATATCAATAATTTTGGCTCAATTCTTTTTTTAAAATTTTCTCTTTATTTTTTATTTTTTTATTTTTTTGTATTTATCTCTCTTTATATAATAACTTATACTAGTTACTCTTTCAAGTATTATAAAATTTCTCTACCCGACCCTAACCGATTTTTTTTTTTAATTTCTATAAACTTTAACAAATTTATATATTTTGTTAGACGTTAAAAATATTAAAAATAAGAAAATGTTCTTCTTTCAAAAATAACAAAAGGCATTATTTAAATAGTTCTGCCTCCTCCCTTTACTTTCCTCTAAAGAAAGCCACTGGTCTAAAGCCTAAACAATCCATAGTTGAAAAAACAAGTGCTGAGATCAAGACATGCCACCACAAAAGTGGCAACTCAGGCATGGTATTGGTGGGTTCTCAAATTCTGCCCCAATTTAAGTAACATATCATCACAACATGGGAACTTGTAATAATTTGTATCCCATCATCTTTATCCAAAATTGCATCCTAAAATGGCCTGTGGGGCAATCTATATTATAAAATCTACTGAAACCAATATATATACATTAAAATAAAGAGCTTACTATTGTACTTGGATCTAGAGTCCGAACTAAATCAATAATTTCGATTTGATTTTTTCACAAAAAAATTTTAAAAAATAAAAACCAAAATTATTTCGATTCTTTTGATTTTTTTTTTTAAATTCGATTTTCATCGAAAGCCAAATTGGTACTTTTTTGTTTTAACACACACCAAAAGCTCATATAATTTTCATATGATTTTTTTTTGCTAAAACTTCAATTTAAACTATTAACATTTTTTGAAAATCGAAAAAAATTATAAAAAAATGACATTTTAGCTTAATCCAAGAAAAAATTCAAAATTCAATAAAAAAGATACAAAAAAAAAAAAAAAAACTGATGTCTAACAAAAAATTAAAAAACCAAACTAAAATATTCGGTTTTTTAATTGAAAAATCAAACTTTAATTCGGTTTAATTTTGATTTTTGTTTTAATTTATTCAATTAACCAAAAAAAATCAAAATTGAATAAAAAAACCGTACGATGACTCTACATAGATCTATTCAAATATACTTTATTAGGACTGTATAAAATCCAAAAAATACCTATGCTATGATTCTGATCTACTTTCATGTGAAAATGCCATGTGAGACCCCACTAACTTTGTGGGGTCTAAGAATTTCATTCAAAGACCTTAAACCTAATTCCTTTGCCATGATTGACTATAGAATCACGATCACGACCATCTATTAGAAAAACTGATGAGATGGATCAATCAAGACATTAAATGAAAAATTACCAGCAAAAAGAGAGATACAAAACACACACACATATATATATATGTATAGACACACACACACCATAAAGGATGGATAGTAGGATCCCATAAAAAAGTTGGCATCCCATCTCTATCTCACATCTCTTTTGCATTATTTTTGTTTTGGTTTCGAATTCTGAAGCTAAAACTGTGTGACAGCTCAATTTAAACCCTTTATAACAATGAAAATCATCAAGCACGAACATATCTTATTACAGGCTATCAACTGTTTTTTTTTTTTCATTTCAAGATCCTATTGTGACCTAATAATGTAAAAAGACAAAAATTATACTATTCTACTTTTCTTTCTTTCTTTCTTTCTTTTCGAAAGAACTGTTAATTTATCGACTTCTTCAATCATTCTTAACCTAAAATATTTTACTTTTGCGCCCTTCTTTTCTTCTTCCAAACCACTCTTGATGGACCAATCAATTACAAATCCATGATCCACCATTTGCTAGAGTGGAGAAAGCCAATACGTATTGACTGTAAAACAATCTAAAACAAATTCTATACGTTATATACATTGAACACAGAAAGAAACCATTTTCAGAATATCTACCCAACCCTTTAACTTAATAATAATAATAATACACCAAATAAAATCCGATTTACTTTTGCCCAAAAAAATAGAAAAAAAGAAAAAAATCTGACAAGCAACCACCATGTTCGTTCTTTTTTAAATTCTGGAAAGAATATTTCTTTTGATTTCATTAAAAAACAAGGAAAAGTATAAATTTAAATTCTAAGTCAATGATCAGACCTGAGATAGAGGTTCCTTTGATGAGATAAAAATAAATAAATAAAATTAAGGAGTAACAAAGAGATCAAAAATAAATTATGAACACACTGATGATCAAAGCTCTTAAAAAAAATAGATAAATAAACACTGAATCACCATCATCATCAACAACAACAACACATAAAGATCAGAAGGAAAAAATGATCAGCACAACACAGAACACTTCACTGATGATTTCTTGATAAAAAAGACTGAAACTTTGAAGAAGAAACAGCTGAATCGCGATCATCAACAACAACATCAATATCACATAAAGATCAGAAAAAATGATCAGCACTCAGAACAACACACAACAATTCACTGATAATTTCTTGATAAAAAAGACTGAAACTTTGACAAAAAAAACAGTGGAAACAGAGAGTTACAGAGCTAAAGAAAACAGAGGCACAAGATAGTTTACCTGAGAGAAAAATCAAAAGTTGTGTTACTTCCTTAGCTTTAAAAAATGGAAGGGAAATAAGGTGGCGGTTGTAACGATGGAGAAGAAGAAAATTTTGCCAGTAAAAGTTTTTCTGTGCGAGAGAAAAGAATGAGAGAATCTTAGAGCATATAAAGGAAGGAGGAAGAGGAGGTGGAAGTGGGGTCCACCTAGTAGTGGTTGGTGGGGTCAGTCTTTTACGTTTTTTACAGCCAATAGGACAATGGATTCATCGGAACGCTGCCGGATTTGTTTCATCTGAGGTTCTCGCCCCTTGATTTCCTCCTACTAACCATGTATTTTTGTGACATCCTAAGACATGGCTGTCTCTTGTATATTTTGTAGATAAATATTAACAATTTTTACTCTCTGTGTTTTTTTTTTTTTTTTTTGCGTATTTTTTGACAATAGATTATTTTTGTACTAGTTTTTACATCAATCTATATTAAATTTATTATTTCTTGGGCTAAACTTGTTTATGTAATTGTAAGATTTTTTTTTTTTTTAAAAAGGATAGTTATGGAGAAATTATAGGTTTTTTTTTTTTTAATTAAGAGTTTCAACTATTTGGTTGATTCGGTTAAAAATCCAAAATGCCTGTAATTATAATTAGTATAGATTTCTAACATATATACTTTGAAGAGGTAGGTTTGATATTTTTAAGAAAATATGTTTTTTTTTTTATTGTCTTATTAAAATTTTGGGATCAATATTTAGAGAGATTTATTAAATTCTTCTGAATGTACTACATTAATATATGAGAGCATGTTTTTAAAATCGTCCAAGAGTAGGATTTAATCTCAATTGATATGATATGAAAATATCTATTATCATTAAATTAAAAAACTAGATTCTACCATTATTGATTTGTATAAAACAATTTGATGTTCGTCTGTGGGTGCCATAGGATCCACATAGTGATTTAAATGATATACCAAAAATCATGAATCAAAATAAAGGGTTTTGTGGATAAAATCTACAATATAATCCATTATAAATAAAAAAAATAAAAAAAAATCTACAGTTTCCTTAGTGTATATCAATGGATTGTAAATGCTTGAATAATGAGATTCAAATGCCATATAAAAGAATGGGATAGATTTTCCCATGCCTCTAGCGTCACAAGAGGCCATGGTTATCTTAGAAGATGGATTATCAAGCCTCCATTTTTAGTTTTCTTCTTTCTTTCTTGCATAAATACAATAAGAGTTTATAGCAATGAACATTATAAAAAATGTCAAAATACATTGAGAAATTTTAAAATATTGAAAGAGTAATCAGCAATATTTATTAAAAATTTAATCTTACTCCGATATGAAAAGGAGAGAGAAACATGAGAGATAATTAAAAAAATTGAGTCCATATGAAAATATATTTATAAATTTGGTATATCTAAATGTGGTTTTATTTTTTATTTTTTTGTCTATCTCTTCTCAAAGCGAGGCTCATAAAATAAGTATTGAGAAATTTTAAAATACTCAAAAAATAACTAATAATACTTACTCAATGATCTGGATTTTTATATACCTTCTTTTCTTTATTTTGATTGCAAGTCTAATTTTTATGTAAA